ACCTTTCCTTCCAAAAATACTTTCATTATCTTCATTGGGATTTTCCTTKTGAGTAAGGACAGCTCTCACAAGTAAGACTTAAAGGATCAAGTTAATGGTTATAGCTGCTGTGGAACAAATCACTGGCTTTATCTACCTCTACATTAACTTCTCAAGTAATAAAAATTATAATGTATTAATCCTTACTTGTTGTCTTACAAATAAGACAACAAAGTGATCAAAACCTTCAGTGAAATGTCTCATAAATAAAGCCTAAGCCCTTGCTGAGCCTGAAAAGAAGTTGTATTGCTCTCATGAATATTCAAATCCTTGAGCATACTGAAAATCTAACAAGGGCAGCAGAAAGAGAACAGCTGAGGAAATTCTTCCAACTAAAAGCATCTAGGGTTTAAAAACTCACTAGAAAGCCTCTGCTGCTATATACAGCTTGTAGCTCAGTAATGTCTGATAAATGTTTGTGTACCTAGTTCAAAAATGTCTTCAGCTMTGGCCCCAGTGAACTGAAATTTGAAGTGTGACGTTCTTCACAGACTGAGAAAATCTTTCTCCTCTGAATTCTTGATTGGATGCTGCAGAACTGGAATAGCCTTGATGGTTATTCTGTGAATATGGATTTACCACCCACATTCAGAAATCAGGCAAACAGAAGCACAAAAATTTGAGGGGAAGAAATGTCCATAAAGCATGGGAAAAAGGCCTGATTCTCACCTGACAAGAACAATTCCTGTGATTTTTGAGATAAATTGAAAGATCTCTGGCATTGTCCTAATTTACGTCAACATCTAACTGGGATTTTATAGCACAGAGATACAACTGCTTGAGATATTCTCAATATTTCAGTGCCTTCCACTCAAGTCTGCCTCTTTKTTGTTTCCTGTACCAGAGGTCGCTGTCCCCTTCATTATGGTGATGCTGCTCTTTCTGGATCTAGTCTACAGACAATTTCACAGCAAAACCCCTGAATATTTGAGTTAAGCAAATTTAAGAAAACCTATTATTTTTATGTTCAAAAATAAGTGAGGATTATTTTTTTAACCTTTACTGCATGCAGTTTTATCCCAAAATAATGATATTTTCAGAGATGGTCCAGGACATCCAGGGGAGTGCTGAGCTCTACTGTCTCTTCTTCACCCATGTGAAGAATAACTTTGAAATAACTTCAATAACTTTGGAAACAACTTGAATAACTTTGGAAAACACTGAAGGGCATGTGTTGTGGTTTGAACTGTGCCCACGACGTTCCTTCCTTCCCCCCCCGCACCGGAGAGGGAGAAGGAAGAGCGAAAACCCAATTAACATGAAATATTTATAGCTTTGAGATWAACATGGCATAATTGGGAGTTAAGATACGTATGCGCTCCAGAAAGATAGTCAGACAGGCTGCATAACTTAAGTTGCCAAATAGATTTATTACTACACACTACTAAAAAAAAAGTATTATGGCACTGGGTGGGAAAACAGAGATAGGGATATTTACAAAGAGAAGAAAAAATAAAATGGACATTTTAAGACACCTGTTACACTTTCCCCRGGACCCRTCTCTTCCCAGGCCCCCAATGCCTCTTCASCCCCCCATGTTGTCCCTCACACAAAGGGGGGCAGGAATGAAAGTCTAACACAGATCAAAACACTCAGTTGTCGTTGCCAAGTCCAGCTGTGGGATGTGCCTTTTCCGAGACACAGTCAATGTGTAMCTGCTAATAGCAGGAAAAGGAATTCCTTTACCTCGCAGGAGAAAAGAAAAGAAAAGAATGTCCTTTCAAGGCCCATGKTTTTTTTTCAGCGACGTGAGTCCGATTATCACAAACCTCCTAGCAGAGCACCAAACACAGCTTCTTCTACATCAAAACTTCGTGGGGGAGCAAACCTCTTCTTTTTCTCTTAGCTTCTAGTCAAATCAATTTTTTTCTCACAACAAGGTCGCTTTACTTCTCTATACAGGTCTCTCTCAATATGATGGAAAWAGTCCTTTTCAAGAACAACTTATCTCCTCCAGCTTGTCCGAGAACCACAGCAAGGGCACAGCTTCTCCTTACTGTTCTGTGATCTTAAGGTCTCCATTTTTCTTCTTACATCTCCTCACCCTCCTGYTCTGTTTTTTTTCCAGTGCAAGATACTAAAACTACATGCTATCAACCTAAGCTAACATKGCGGCCGCAGCTATCTTGTTTTGARTTCTTTCTTAAATACTACAAAATATGTCATCACAGAGGTGTAACTATCCTGTGCAATTGACCCAGGCCTGATGGTCAGCCTGTCCATCAACCTCAGAACCAATGATGGGTTGGCTCTGAAACACCGGAGSGGGGCAGGGCTCCCTTTGCTGGAGAAGAAGAAGAAGGAGACACCCCTAGGACTTCTCACAGCAGCYATCTTTGTGGTCTCCARGTCCCATCCCCCCACCACCAAAAAAATCAGACCAAGTAAAACCATGACAGCATGTTTTTGGCCCACTCTCATCATGGTGAGTTCTTCCTAGCCTCTCCATCGCCTGCCCTCAGCTGCCTTTTACTGGCCCAAGACTGGGCAGGGCAGAATTTCTGCAGCTCATATTCTCACATGTGTTTTAGGRTTGCTTCAGCTGGTTCTGCAATAGGCAGAGTTCTTTATGCAGTTATTATACTCAGRTGTTTACATCTGCTTTACAGGCACATCTGGGTATTTCTTCTTGGCCATGTGAGAWCAAAAGTCATAATAATACAATTGCTAAGTTTGCAAATGAATGCAAATGACTGAAGTGTTTCTTCAAGCAAGTAACTCTTTTCTTTTTAATAGTTTGCATACTCATTGATTTTCCCCTTTTTACATTCATGACTCATGAAAATAGGAATGCCTAAATACAAATAAAACTGTTAAACTAAGTTCTTCAGAAAAGATGTTGAAATGGCTGCCTCTARTTGCAGTATGAGATAGTTGTGATAAGAGATGGGCAAAATAACCTTGTATTRCAAGGAAAATAGATTAAGGTGTTATCTGGCTCCATGTTGCAAGTTTCYCAGATAAAGTGATTCAATTCTTGGTTGAATCCTACAAGGGCTTGTAGCTTAGTCAGAATGAAAATTACTGTGCTGTTTTGATGTATGTGAAGTTATCCTCACAGTTGTTTAACATTCAGTGGTGCCTGGGAGGTGAGATCTGGGAAAGTCCGTCAGTAAAAGAAAATTAAATAAAGAGCAAAAGCCTCTAATAGTTTATTTCTACTTTACTATTGCCTTTTATTTTGTTTCTGCTGCTACCAAAACAGCCTAATACAGAGGTCCATCTTCAGCTAAAAACAATGYTGTTCTGCTTGCTTCAGAGTTTGGGTAGGAATTTTTTTAATATAATTTCCATCAGCATTAAGACTTACATGATGACAGTATTTCCTTTTTCTCAAAATGCTTTTAATACTTATTATTTTACACATTGATTTCTTTCAACTAAACTTTATACAGGTGTATCTGTAAAGTTACATCTTTATATCTACGTATCTTTCTGTATCTGAAAGATAAGCTCAGTTCTTACACACTTTTTGAGTCATAGCAGCTTGAAATGGAATAGTGGCCCCAAAMTGTTCCTGTACAGAAAGGCAGTGGCCAGTGGACACGAGTTGTATTTGCTGTTTGGAAACGGCCCACTGGTAAATCAGCATGCACGTGGTGGTCAGCCAATATGCACAAATCAAAATACTTCTGGTAGGTTCTTAGGGCATGTGCAGGACTTTGGGAATAGTGGGGATAGTAGGGAGGAAGCCAGAAGTACTGAGTAGTACTCAGTAGAGAGTAGTCTGTAGACAAAGAAATGGTCTGTGTATCTGGGGGTGGAGTGGCAAAGGAGACATGAGATAGCAACCTCTAGAAACCCCGGTTTTGTTAAATCTGGTGCTCTTGAAGCAACTTTTCTTACATATCTTTATTTTAGGATTTTTTTTTTTTTTTGCTGTCTGCCTTTGATGCAGAACATAAGGAACTTACACATTGTACTTTATTGAAAATTCAGCTAAGAATTTTGATAATGAAGAGGGAGCATATGAAGTTCTCAAAGTCCRGAAGTTGGACTGCTTGTTTTTCAAAATTACTGTGGAGGTACAAAGCCATATATTATTTCCCAAGGATAAAGATTCATTCTGAAAAAGCAAATTTTCATTTGGRTAAAATTACCTGAGGGGAAAAGTGAGCAGTGAATCATTGTGRAAAAGAAAATGTGACATGAATCCATGCCAAGCTCCTGATAAAGATGATCTCTTTTAAGGTCATATTCGTCGAGTGTGCTGTCCTACAGCCTCGTCTCTCTAYGACACCTCTCTAAACTTAACATTCTATTTATCAGTTTATTTAATTTGGCAACTCTTCAAAAACACAGATGAGGAAAACAATATTGCCATCTACCCAGAGGGTTTGTTGGGGGTTTTTAAACTTTTCTGGACTCACGACAATTCTGTCTAACCTATTGAACATGGAACCTGCATTCATGCTCAACTGGAYAATTGGCTTCTGAAAGCTAATTTTCTACTGTATTTTAGCTTCCAGGACCAAATATAGGAGTATATGATACTTTCTATCTCTAACATAGCATTCAATAATAGTTTTCAGTAAGAATGGTTTACCTAGTAGATGTTTCCATCTGATTCTTAATGGTAAAGCATAACAAAAAAGTCTGCGATAGAAATTGAATATGAATTTCTACTGCCACACTTACAAAGATATGTTTTTGCAAATTCTTTTGCAATAATTTTGTTTTCAGTGAATTATCTAAAAGTGATGCTTACCATAGTAAATACTTAAATATCTTTTGTCTTTTTCTAGATTTCTCCATTTAATTCTTTGTTAGAGAATTAATACTGTTACTGAGAGCATYTCACCTGGCTAATCATCTCTTAATCAAGTGTCTTTAATGCTTCTTTCACTTGCTTACATACATGTTGATTTTTAGAGTGCTACAGAAAGTAATGGGACTAAATATTTGCCTTAAACATGYCATTATGTATTTCTGAGATATCTTTGGTTTTTATTTTTATGTAGCTTCATAATACACAACAAAGATACTTTCTTCAATAATGCTACAAGAAGTAGAATTGTACACCATATCTTACAAAGAGTGAAGTATGAAGAAGGGAAAAACAAAATTGGTGAGTACTGAGCAATGTGCTTTTAAATATGTGTTTAAGAAAAGAGAGGAGAAGTCTGCCTGGGCTCAAAACAGACTCTTTTGCTTCCTTTTTAATCACCCCAGTTTGGACTGTTTACATCTCACCCACTGCTGTTGTAGGGGTTTTGCCTGGAAGATGTGATCATTCCCTTGTAATATCAGACAGCTTTCACAGGCACGTGCCACCACACGGGATTTATCATTTCTGCAAGGGAAGAGGCTGATTTAAATATGAAATATGAACAGATTACAGGCAGGTGAGAAGTAGAGAGACTCATGCAGGAAAACTTAYGTTCTTTCATAAAAATGTGCTTGAAAGGATGGTGAGATTTGTGCTGCTCTAAATCTCAGCCTGCAGGGCTTCTCCCTGGATAYCTATCCATCCCTAAGGGAGATGGAAGAATCTTTGTATCTCTGTTGTTGCTGTGAGTCAAAAGGAGTTCCCCACTGATGTCCTCAGTGCAAAGAATGCAATGCATTACTGTGGCTTCCTCTTTGGTGAGTGGAGTGGACATTTGGAGTGGCACATACACAGGTCCAGGATGGCAGGCAGTGACAGAGGAGGGATAGAATATGAAACAGTGGCTACTTTGTTCCAAGTGATCAGAGCACATAGTGCTTGAGTACCACATTTAGACAAATGCAGAGGCAATCTCCATAAAACTCTGCAGTCTATTTCATTTCCCTGCTGTTTAAACCTCACTTTTCCTGAAGAGGAAGAGAAATATCCCAGAACTTCACTTTTTTTCTTTCTTTCTTTCTCAGCTGCTGGGATGAGGGCAACAATAGCCTTAAGCAGAGCAGACATCTAGCACAAACCCTTGCAGTCCCTGCCTGCTGCAAAATCCCAAGGTCCCTTACTTGTCTGCTTGTGCTCTACTGAAATGAACTCAACCTTGGGCTGATCACTGGGCAGATCAAAGTCCAGCTCAGCTGTAAAGGTTTTACTTTTCTGCCAGAGAACACCGAAGGAAGCGTATTCTGCTAAGCCAGTACTGGCACTACCACTGAAACTGCTGAGAAGTAATTGAATTAAWTCAGTTTGTATTGAATTAATACTTCTCATTGCTGTGTCCTTGCTGCTGTCTATCCCCTGTGAATTAGGAAAAGAATCGCAGCTCTATGCCTCTTGGTCAGTAGGGTTAAAATACCTTCAGGTTTTTAGTGTGGATATTTTGTTTTGCATTGCCTGGTAACAGTTCAGTGCTCTTTTGGTGACTTTCCAAGTGGAAAAGCACCAACATCTCAGCAAACATTATTTCTCAAGGCTCTCATTAAAGAGGGACAATGCCTGAGTGAGTGGGATGTATGATTACTTTTTTGTGCTGCATAGGAATGATTTTGATGCAAGTTCCCATTTATTTTCTAGTCTTGTACTGCTGCAGCTRTCTTTCCAGCAGCTTTCATAATACATAAACTGAACATACTTTATAAAGTTGTTATTATATGGAAATAAGGAGTTTCAGTTGCTTTTGTGTCCTGCAGTTCAAAAATGTCAAGATCTTCCCTGAAGTTTTAGCTGCCCAGTTATGCAGCCTTTCATCTAAATAYCTTTGTTAGACCTTATTTTATAAGGACAAACTTTAAACCTGGTGTGAGGTCTCCAATTTCACCAGAGTTACACTAAAGATGGATTTGGCAAATGAATCTTTAAACCTCTAGCATAATTTATGATAGGTTCTGATTAATATTTGAATGGGTCTTTCTTTGCATCGTATCTAACTTATCAAAATCTATAAAAGATTAATTTTTCTACAAATATCTTTTACGGTCAACAGGGCTTCAATCTTCAATTAGCCAGTGTATTATGAAGATGYGTTTTGCTTTTTACTCAGCCATTTTTCTGCTCCTGTTGGTAAATAATTGAATACTTTTTATTCTTAGGTCTGAATCGATTGCTCAGTAATGGCTCCTATGAAGCTGCATTTCCTCTTCATGAGGTATTTTTCTCAATTCCTTTTTTCTTTTTGAAYGGACATTTCCCACAAAAATGAATTCTTAATTGTATAATTATTTATCCTCAATCTTATTAATGTCTGCCTCTGACATAGTTCCATTTAGCAATGGGGAAGTTCCCATTAGTTCCATTTCCTCTGGGAAAAAATMGGGGTATTTTCTTGCAAAAAGGGATGAGTAAAGAGAGTTGTTCTGGATCTATTCTGTAAAAACTATTCGAGTTAATATATCAGTATGTTTTCAGAGAGGAAAAACCATCATACTCTGGGGTTTTTTTTTKAGRTTCTCCAAAGAATTTCTTTGAATCTATAGCCTTTGACTTGAATATAATTTATTATCAATTTCTTAGGAAGAATCTTCTCAAATCTTAGTGACATCAGCTGATTTTTTTTAATGTCATATTTAGCTTTTGGAGTACAAGTATGGAGTTTGCATAAATTGTATTATCCATACTGCTAGTAAGAGAGATTTCTTAAATATTCTTTTYTGCTGTTGTTATTCATTAATGTTTAGATTTGTGTTTTAGGGAAGTTACAGAAGCAAGAATTCAATAAAAACCCACGGGGCAGAAAACCACAGACACCTGCTCTATGAGTGCTGGGCTTCCTGGGCAGTGTGGTAYAAATACCAGCCACTAGATCTTGTAAGGTAAGACTTACCTGCTTTTACTGTCACATTACAGATGCTTTGAGCACAGGTTGTTGCAATTCTGACAAAACCATGAAAAGCTCAGTTAGCTCATGTGGCTTTTAAAAAACGATCCTGAGGTCATGGGAAACCATTTTGTTCATAGCGCCACTACATCCGAAGAAATATTTATAGAGGAGTTTGTAGAAGGATCTGAAGGTGAAWGCAGTCTCCTTCTAGAGCTTCCTGACATTGTGATTTGTAATGAAGTGTTTGCAGAATATTCACTAGAGATGGAAAGGAAGAGAGAAATCTGTGGAGGCTAGATGTATTGGATTAGACATTTGTCCAGAGGAGGAGTTCTTCCTCCCCAGAGCATGGCTTTGGTGAAAGACAGGCTCTTACCATCTAGATCTTCTTTTTCCAAAAAAGCAACCACAGAATGAGCTCTGGATGAAGTTGCATGGTTCTTACAAATGAAACATGAGCTTATATTGCCAAATACGCTACTGCGTTCAGCAACACTTGTGATGGAAATCTCCTTTGTCTTTATTGCATCACCACTGTCCAGATTTTTATTCACATTGGAAGTAGYCTGAAAAGAAAAGAACACTGAGAAAGCTGAGATGTGATTCTAAGTTCTTGTAACCCTTTTAAATAACATAGTCAAATAGCCTTGCATGCACTAATAGAGAATTACATATTCCTTACACATATCCAGAGGGCCAGAGGCTTTACTGGTCATGTTGGCAGAACTATTATTGGACAGGAATGAGTTTTTTCTACTTGAAGAGAGGATTATGGAGCTACAAGAGCCTATTAATAAAGTCTTCAGATATATCAGGAGCACTGAAGATACTTTGGCCATCAGGATGGGTTATCCACAACATGTAATTGGTCCAGCATATTAATTTCCTCTTTCATAAGTACTGTAACTAATAGAAAACTTTGGTCTTATTTATTCTCAAAATTGTTTCCAGATGAAAGGTTTGTAGAGAGTGGCCCTGGAGACAGACAGTGTTACTGATTAAAGCTGTATAAAACCTATCCATTTCATAAAACAGAAAGTTTCATTTGCATGGATAAAAAATTCACCAAGAAATGCAATAAAAAGTTTTACTGAAWAATGTAATTTTTTAATGCTTTACAAAGTAATTTATTAAATCTCATAATTTAATCCCAAAATCTTTTTATTTCTTTTTTAACACACTGGATAGAAATACAGAATTTTTTTTTGAATTACACGATAGAAATTGCTAATTTATGAAGAAGCCAACAGTTATATTGAAGGTTTTTTTTTTTTACTTTCAGTCTTCCAGTATGCAATAAGATATTAATATCACAATATAAACAACTTACCTCTACAGAATTTTTTAATCATTTGTCCCTAGTGRTCAAGGCTATGGCTCTTCATCACTCCTGATTTGTGAAAGAGCTCTTGAGGCAATATCTGGTGTTTGATTTAATTTGATAATGAGTCATCTGAAAGAGTTTTTTAAATATGAAAATAAATGGTAAAAGAATAAGCAATGTTAGAGATACAATTATTCTGGACCTTGATAGCAGCCTGGGTTTAAAGCCTAAGATTTTTTAATAAGCTTTATTTTTTTTATCAGGACAGATTTTTCAAAATCTATTACAAAAAAACCAAAAAGGAAAAAGGCAATTGAAATAAACCTCCTAGACCCCCTGGCTGAGATCATGAGTGTTCTGCAGTTGTTGAGAGTAGGTGTTTACCCAAAGAGTAGAGGGGAGGGGGAGTTGTGAGATTCCCTGAGCACTAAGAGAGTCTGAGTCACAAACTGAGCAAGGTCCAAGGCTGCAGCCCCAGCCTCCCATTTGCTGCCTGGAAAACATCAACAGCTGAGATGAATTCACTGAAGGAGGGATAACAAAAAAGAGAAGGGGGTGCCTTTTTCTTCTGACTTTACAGATGCTGGATTACTCACTTTTCCTCAGTGCCTGCCGAATTTTCAGAAGATTTGAAGGTTTGGGAGRAGCAAAGGGAATGTGAGTAATCCAGAGTCTGTGACTGAATCTTCCATGTTTACTGCCACTCTCAGCAGTTCACATGTCTACTGAGCTGGAGCCTTTTCCTTGAAGAACTGACAACACCAGCAAGAACTGCTGTTCTTTTCACTTAGAAGCGTCTCAGCAGACACATTTTAAAAAGAAGCCTTTTTCAGCACCAGTTCTACAGCAGGAAAAGCTTTTTTCCCCCCATAACAACAGTTATGTGGTGCTGTGCTTGTCATCTGTAAAAAAGGAGTGTCTGGATGCTGATTCTTCCACAGGTGTCTGGCCAGAAATTATGCTGCTAGTTGACATCATGCTTTAGAAAGGCTAAGTAAATTAGATGTAGATAATACAATTATGTCATTAATAGATATGATGTTTCTACCTTAAACTCAAGTTACCGCAATGGTAAGTGAAAATGTTCATACTTCTGTGCTGCTAGATTTTCCCCTTACCTGTTAAAATGAGGTTTCCATCCCCTGTGCTGCCAATTCAGCAACAACTCCCAGATTTCATTTAATCTCATCAACTGGCTGTTATGGAGATACTAGTCACTAAAAATACATGAGAAAAAGTCATTTGAGGGAAATTGCATGATTCTGCTTCCACTCTGCTTTGAAACGTGGTAGTACGAAGGCACAGACTTGGCATAATTTACAAAGCCATTCCTATTAATCAACAGATGCAGTACCATGATTTTAATTATACTTTTCTTGGAATTAATGTCCATAGATACTTTGTCATTAATTTATGACCCTTAGAATTGATTATAATTGGAAAGAAACAGGACTTGTTATATTTATACGCTCTGGGACAACGCAAATCAACAGAAATAGTTGCAGTGATTCCTGGGGACTTTGGATCACCTCCTTCACACTTCTGTGCATAGCTGCTTCCCTCTAGATAGTKCACAAATTGCTCCCACTGCTGCTTGTGCATGTAATTCACAGGATAAAAACTGAGGGAGGAAACTATGCTTTTTAAGTTATTGTAAAGGTCTCTAAATGACCCTGGAAGGAAAAACAAATGCCTGAGTAACTTGTATTTTGCTCCATGTTTCCATTAAATGTCTTGACTGCAAACTGGCCACTTGGTTTCAATATCCTATCAAGCTTCCCTCTCCAGCCCATTACTTCTGATATGAGAGCTTCATATGTCCAAAACACCTGCTGGAAAGCTGTAGTTTCTGTGTTGTRGAAAGTTCTGTACAGGATTTCATTTTTACCTATAAAAGGGATAATAAACATAGATAGGTTCTTGTCTTGAGCCCAAATCTATCTATATTCCAGATCCATGGCTTCCTTCTCGGCAAGTTGAAAGCAAAAGATTTTGTAATGAAAGTCATTAAATACAGGATAATCCAACATCACATTTCATAGTTCTGAAATTRGACTTTGTAGCTTAATACTTTTCAAAAACATGCCATATGGATAAATATTGATATTGAAATCTTGACCCAATTAAGTCAGAGCTCTAACACTGGAATGGGTTGAGGGTATGCACAGTTCACCACTACATCACTTCTGGGACTGAAGGGTTAATATACACTCTAGCTTACAACTGAGCACCAGAAATTGTATTTTTATTATTGTTTTGATGGTACAGCATATATAAGGATAGGAGAGATAAATTATTCTATTAGGTGCTTGGAGTTTTTTTATGTCTCTGGTTTTTAGGTTAGTTGTGGAGAGAATTTTCTGTGGGAGAACCATCAAAGACTCAATTTTTTTCTGTCCATATTAATAATCTGAAAAATTGGATAATAATAAATTGGCAAAGTTTACAAGAACACAAGAATATTATCAACACTAAAATTTCAAAGAGGCCTTGAAATGAGCAGGATGATAACAGGTGAAGTTTAGGTATAAGTAATGCACAGTGATGCATTCTAGAAAAATACATCTGGAATTCTTTGTGTACATTGCTGAGCTCTGGCTCAGCGAGAACTGCCATCACTGAGGCAAGCTATATGAAATTTCTGTTCTTTACATAGTGACAGAAGAAGAGAAGCAACAAAGAGCTTGTTCTTCAGACAAATCTTTAGGGCAAATTGAAGGGAGTGACAAAGGTATCTCTACACTGTTTTCCTCTCCTGAGGGTCATGATGGACCAGACAAGCTGAATTATTTATTGGAATAAATGTAGAACTGCTCTGATTATGGTACCTAGGAAGGCTTCCAAAGACCTTCTTATTGGCATGGTTTGTTTCATAGCACTTAACTGAGTGGTATCTGAGCAGAGACCACAAAGAGAATGTGCTAACTTAGCTGGAAGACATGGTAGAATAACTCGATCCCGATGCAAATTGCAGTAGTACAGCCTGTGGCTATGATATCTCAGCTGTGTTGTAAAGGGCAATAATGGGATATCAAGGCTGTTTCTCCATATTTAAACCAATAAGTATCAAAGTAATGTCAACATCCTTCATTTATTTTCAAAACCAGGCTCAGATGCCTTTTCCTTACTTTTCAGAGATGGGTTGCTCCCATTATGGGCAGTCTTCTTTATGCACACACTGAGCCTTACTTARGTCTTCATTGGGGATGAAGGTGTTTGATCCCTAGATCAAAAAGAATACTATGATTTGCACTCTTAGATTGATGGACTCAACRAGATAGGAGGTGATTTTTGTCATTAAAGCTTGTCAGTTAGAKGGTTGGAACGAGGAAACATTCATCCTTGAGTGTAGGGAATGAAATAAAAAATTARGCTTGATGAAGGTTAGGCTGACTTCACTACCTTGAGCTACATACATGGAGAAAAATAGGTCATAAATATTCAGTGGAAGCAAGCTCAAAATGTGAATTTGCCTTTTTGGAGGTGCAGGCGTAGATGACTAGGTGACATCCTAAGTGTTAGGAAAATAATCAGGCAAAAGATTTCATTAACACTCTTAAGTCAGGTCTTAAAAAGCGGTTTGCAGTGTGGTTTTTTACATCAGACCTGCTGCCCTTGTCAGAAATTAGCGTGTTAGCATTAGCTGACCATCTCTTTAGCCTGAGATTTTGAGTCTCTGTTGAATAACAGAAGAAGAAAACTGAAAYGACAATATTTGGCTTCTTATACAGAGCTGGTAAACTCAAATGAAAACAGTCACTACAGGTCAGTGTCTTTCAGCAGAGTATGAGCTCAGGCCAGAAAGGTATTTCTCACTCTGGAAATCTTTAATAACAACTTGAAGACTGCTAATTTTGTGCAGTCCAGAACAGGTGTCCTCCAGTGCATCGAGTGCTACAGATGGTCACAGGTCTTTCCATTCTCACGGAGAAAGTTTGGCCAACGATATTTTCTGGTAGCACAGAGGAGCCAGCAGTGCTGGCTCACGGCACTTTTTCTCTGGATAGCTCAGAAGTTGCATCATAAGGGGGAAAGAGGGTTTCCAGCAGCAGCTGTTTTCAAATTGAGTGGATATGCAAGTTCAAGTTGTCTGCAAAGTCTCTGAAACACAAGCCTTTCATTTTGCCTCATTCTTTGAAACTAACCTTGCAAACAATCCCCTAACATCTCAGCAATGTGCACAAGACATCGGACACAGGACGACACAAGAGCCTGCTCCTCTGCTGATGAGTTCGACAGTTTTCTTGTGCTTAATGTATTCTCTAACACATAAAGGTTTGGTAGTGTGTGGGAGGAGGAAAAGTGCCAGTGAATATTAGCAAAAAAGCACCATTCTAGACACTTTGCTGTAGTTTTTGAGCAATATATCTTATACATTAAGATCAACTCAGACTATTTTCCTCAAGTCAATTCATGATGGACCTTACTTGCTATTCACTTTCCAGTAGTAAATTGAAATTAGTAGAATATTGAAATTAGTTTTTCAGGAACTGAGCTAAGAAAATAAATAATCAAATGAAAATGAACTGTACTGGAGAATAAATTCTGATTAATTAATTTCTTAGAAATAATTTGAGCTCAAATAATTTTTGCTGTTATGCCAGTTTTGGGGATAAAACTGATTTCAGTGCAATTATTTGGGYGGCACAGTCACACAGCCAAAAGGCAAAGCAGACCATCAATTTCCCAAATACGAAGAACTAACTTTCTTCAAGTAACTCAGTGTTTCCTTTATTAAGTGTCYATTTATCTAACTGTAAACTGTGGTTATTGAATTTTTAATTAATGTTTGAAGTTCATTCCTGAGGCAGGACCCTCAGTGTGGGTTTAGAAACCTTGCTGAAGGCTTTTTCTTCTCTTTTATCTACTCTTCAGATATGGTAGTTTTTTTTGCTACTAATGAGCAAGATTAAGTAGATTATTCTAATTAGCAGGTAACTTTGCTGTGTTGTGTTTTAAAACAGACGATACTTTGGTGAGAAAATTGGGCTGTACTTTGCCTGGTTAGGCTGGTACACAGGGATGCTCTTCCCAGCTGCCTTCATTGGATTGTTTGTCTTTTTGTATGGAGTCACCACTTTGAACCACTGCCAAGTCAGGTAACGTGGGAACTTTTATAAATAAATTGCAGCTGTGGGTTATTATGAATAATTTAAGAGCTCTTCCCGTGAGTTGTTAGTTATTTCATTTTGAGCTGTTGAATGAACAGTCGAGAAAAGACTGCTTAATTCTCAGAAGGTACCCAGCATCAAACTTCCCATGTTTTCTGCTCCTGTATTGGGATGAAAGGAAATGCTTCTTGCCCAATTCCAGTTGGTAATGGTGCTGGCAACTCAGAACAAAGTAGGGAAAAATACAACCTTTCATTGCTCTTCAACAGGCCAACACAAGAGTGAGAAATTTTCACTCTCTGTAAGGCCTTTCCCAAAGATCCACCGCAGAGAGGCATTCTTCAAAGGAAKAAATCCCTGGATCTTCTGCTGAGTGCTACACCTCTAAATTTTTGTTCCCTTAAGTCACAAGAATAAGTCAAACTGAACTAAWTCTGCAGTTACGCTCACCCTCCTCCTACCAAAGGTCACTCTGACTCAAGGAGAAGCTGGAAATGGCAAAGAGATCCTGCTAGGTTTTCCCTGGAGAACTGTGCTCTGACATTATGACYGTAAATTCTGTAATCGTGGTCAACAAATATTAATTAAACATATGCAGTTATGAACATTTTGGCTTTGGTTACAGACCAGTTTTTTTTTTTTTTTTTTCAATAAGTAACTGAACATAAGCAAAACCTATCAATCCATTTTAAGACAGAATGTTGTGCAGATTGTTGTAGTAATCAAGACATTAATTTTTGCCTTTTCTATTTTTCCAGTAAAGAAGTCTGCCAAGCCACAGATATCATCATGTGTCCTATATGTGATAAATACTGCCCCTTCATGAGGCTGTCGGACAGCTGCATTTATGCCAAGGTATGTTTTCAGCTATGCAAATAGAAATGCTTTCCTGGTAAAAGCAAGAAYTTTGTCTTTTACATTTGTCTTTAGAGAGCTTGGGTAGAAAACATCTTGAAAGGACAATTCAAGTTTAGCCAGCGTTACCATTGCCTTTCGCCAGTACTTAGTTTGGGTTGTAAAACATTTGAATGCAATTTGCACTTAGAGATTCAGCAGTGTCACAGGTTGTGTCCTAAAGGTCTGTGCTATGGTGTCCTTGACATCAGACTTTATCTTCTCATTCATCCTCCATAAAATTAATGCTTTGGGTCTGAAATGATGCTCACGCCTGGAGTCGGCCGGGCACAGTCCCAGGCCAGGCTGGCAAATAGTCCTGTCAATTCACAAGTGGATTTCACGTGCCAAGGGAAGGATCCTCAGGATTGTCAGCCCAGCTACACTCGTGATCACATTAATTTTAATATATGAAAATAGAAAATAAAGGCTTGTTTTCACAAATTGATCTCACTATTAATACATCTCTCAGGTAACCCACCTTTTTGACAATGGAGCTACAGTCTTTTTTGCTGTTTTCATGGCAGTGTGGGGTAAGTTTTCATTTTGATATTAAGTAATTGCACCATCTTTTTCTGAAAGAATGCAATGCATCATAGGCCTTTTTATTTTCCAGCACACTTCTTTTCAGACATTAGGAATATAGGCGTGAGACTTTTCTGTTTCTGCAAAAGGAAGAGGGAATTAATTGAATCGGGTTTTTATTTGATAATAATTTAAACTAGAACAAAAATATGAATGCAGTTATGTAGTGCCTATGTAGATTTTATATATATATAATTCTGAGGGGATTTCTAACCATTTTTAAATCCATTGGTACTCAGGCCTTYTCTCTATTACTGCTCAGGGTTTCTCTTACCTTAGGGCAGCTCAGTTTAGTGTCAGCATTAAAATGAAATAATGTATTGTTTCCCCACCTTGCAGAAAGGCAGTAAAACTTAAATACATATAAGCTGGTTGCCATTAAAGTAAAATGCAGATGAAATAAATAAAAGATTTCATTGAATGGCAAATTGATCCAAGTGTGGTCTAACTGTTGCCATGGAGGCTGAATTTTGCCCATAGAAATGTTCTATTTTTGGCTCAACTATTTCTCCTGCTATGTCATGTAGGCAGAATTGAAGGCAAGAGGAATCAGTAATTTCTGGCAGCACAAAAATTATTTCAAACAATCCCTAAACATGCYCAGGCTCTTAGCTGCTACCAAGCCATTCTGAGAGAAGGTTAACAACCGTAGAAAATGGCTCAATGAGGTGACTCAAAAACAGCATCCACTTCATAGCTCCAGGTCCTTGAGCTACCCAGATTTAGTCATTGTTCTCCTTTTCTTACTCACACATCTCCAACTGCTTCTGAAGAGTGTCCAAGTAATTCTTATAATTTCCATTTTAAAGTGCAAATCTCTTCACTGAACCACAAGAAATATCCAGGAGGCAGCATGGCAACCACCAGGACAACACAGATTAGACTACCATTCTGTCTCAGTTCCTTCCCCCAGTTTTGTCTTAATTAACTACTTAAATTAGGTCATAGACCAATCAAGCCTATTTATGCCATTTCATATAACACTGTCAATATTAAACTATTGCAAATCAAATTTAGAAAAATCTGATTATACAGATTTTATGTGTCTTCTTGCTATTTCATCTTTTTTTCAGAGCTGCACAGAGCTAAGAATCCCCAATAATTTATAAGCCTTAATGACTTCTTTTGGATGCATATTCAGCTTTTCTAAATTCCTTCTCCATGTGTTCACTGAAGTTGAGAATTCTCAAGACAGTACAGGCAGGGACATCTCTAGGAAAACTGATSGCTTAACACCACTGAACATTTATGCCAGTGTTCCTAACTACTGGTGAACTGGCTGCCACGAGGGAGGTAGGGCCAGCACCAGGCAGGATTGTGARTGTAGGGTATGGTTTGGGGAATGGGAAAATCCTATGGCTCCACCCAAACGGTGCTTTCTTAAAGAAGGATTTGCAGAATCAGCAGTGTGATTGTGGAGGTATTTTCCATACAGAAAAGGCTAAAGCAGGATTCGAACAAGGCAAGTCACTCTTTCCAGGGATTTTCTGGTGTTGTATTTAGGAGTTGGCTTACTGCCTTTGTTAAATGGGTTTTTAGTCTGCAGTAGGCCTAATGGCAGCTTCAGGCATTGCAGTAAATCATAGAGGAAAAGAAGAAACAATGATAGCAGTTTGACTGTGGAAATGTTTCTTCTGTCAGCATGAAATATGCTTCTGGCAAGTGCATGAAATATTGGCTGAGAAAAGTTTGGCCTTTCAGATGATCCAATTTGACAGACATTAACATATAAAATAATTACGGCAGTGCTTTCATTAAAAAAGGATGAAACAAAAAAAAGGGCAGATAGAATTACCTCTTCAGCCAATGTTTACACACTGTCTAATTGTTATATAAAGTATTTTTTTCACTGCCTTTAGATCCATTTGTGAGTTCCCATCTTTAGAGAAAAGCCTCAGACATTTGCTTGGGGGTTTCAAAACCAGGTGTGGTTTGATTTGTCTGCCTATGAAGAGGTGATCTGTTTGGTGCTTTCTCCTTTTACTCCAAAGACACCTTTAATTGATGAATTAAGTGGCTTGCTCACATTTTAAGTATAAATAAAATGCATCTCCAAATGATGAGCAAACTGCTGTGGCCAGGCTGGGGAGATGAATTACYATGACAAATACAAGCAGAGGCTGCTTGATGTAAGGAGAAGCCTGACCATTTGGTCCTGAGCCACCAGGACTTTGAAGCACAGGGACCCATTCTTTTAATACTTCATTGTGGCATAGTGAGACCCATCAAAGTATGGTTGGAATTGTCAAATGCACCATGAGACATTGGAATAGAAATACACTTTAAAATATATAATGACCCTTCACCTCACTGATTTAATTTCTGCCTAGTGTAAGCAAAGAAGTAGAAGTAATTGATGTGATAGAAAACAAGTATGATACTTTCTAAAGTATGCCTGACAGCCATATGACTTAAGGCAACTTTCATTTTTAACTGATGTATCACAGGACAAAAGGTAGTTTCCCTTCAGTGCACCTAAGGAGTTCATTCGTAGTTTGTGTAAGYTTTTCTGTATTGAAGCTTCTGTTGAAAGAAGTACCCTTTCAAACAGATTGAAGCTATAAATMTCTGATTTATAGGAAAAAGTCCCTACAATTACTAACTTTTAAAAAAAAAATTTATTGGTGAACAGATCATCATTGATGCTCACCAAGATGTAATCATCACAGTAGCTGGAAAATAATCTTTTTCTTTTAAGAGTCTYCAGACTTGATGACATTTTCCAGATGTTCAAACCTTTCAAAAATAGGAAAGCAATAGCAAATTTTGTGTTTTGTGAAGGGGAAAACACCTTCACTTTGTTCTTTATGTATGCCTTGAGAAATGTTGGGCTTGATGATAAAGTACTTYCCATATCTAGGAAGAACTTGTCTTTTTATACTGCCTAAATTAGACAGAAAGAAAATGCCTAAAAGGACAGAAAATGAGAGCAAGCTGTTAATTCAAAATAAATGTTGCTATTTAAAGAGAAGGAAAAAGTAATTCTCATTTTAAAAATTGAAGTAAATTTGATACTCAATTGACTCCCAGCRTGTTTCAGTAAAGCCAGATGAAATTGTAGATTTTTGCTTTTCCAGTTGAGGAAAAGATTTCAGGAAGAAATCTATTGCAAAGTTATTACTGTCTAGATGTTTCCTGAAGCTCTATAGCAAATTTCTGTAACTGTTCCTTAGGAAAATCCAGCAGTTTATAATTTCGAAAGCATTGCTGGAGACAKGGTAGGCTGGTGGTAGTTTCTCTGTCTGTGCTCATCTTTGGAGGACTAAGGGATACAAGAGAAGTCCTTTTTGAAATTTCCTCCTGTGTAGCATGTTTCCTTTGATAAAGGAAGTAGCTTTAGAACACTTGCTGAAAGGCAAAATTGGGAGGGGAAAAAGAGGCCTGGCAGGGAGAGTTTTAACATTTTTTTTCAAGTTATACAAAATGCCAACATAAAACCATTTTTCTGTATGTATCTGTTAGTCTAACAAAGTACATTACTTTCCCACAAATCTTGCCTCTAGCATAAAATGTTTACATTGATCTGCTCTCTGAGGAGATAGAATTTAAGGATGTTCTTCAGCAATACTCCTAGTATATAAAATATATTCTAGGAGTCAGGATGGATGTATTAAATGGTGCCCTGAAATACAATAGAGAGAGGATTTCTGAGAGAAGGTCAGGATAAAACTATTTGCTACAAGAGGCCATTTTCATTAYGAGATAAGACTCATTAGATGCATAACTTGTTACAAAAGTGTCTGAGGAAATTCTGTTAAGATAGCTGTTTGTACAAGTGGATATTGAGGACTCAGCTGCAAGGTGGAGCTCTGAAGCAGTACAAACAGTRTAGAAAAAGCTAGTAAAAGATCTGGGAGCTAAGGTCAATGAGAAATACAAAATTTCAAGCAGGATTTTTTGRAGAACACTCAGCATCTGGTTTAAGCACAGAAATGGGAAAATACAACTGTGTCCTATTGAATGTCAAAGTCACAAAAGAGTGCTGAAGTTTGTGTAGGGTATTAGTAGTTAAGATTACAATTGGAAAAGAAGCAGAGAAATTTGAAAATGCAGCACATTTTAGAAGACCTCAGTAGCACAGTCAATCAATCAAAGATGGTTATTTATAGAACACTTTAATGTATCTAGCGAAGGAAAACCGAATACTGACCTGAATAGAGGGAGAAAAGTTTAACCGTCAAAGCTGAAACAGCACTGTGCAAAACATTATATTTGCTGCTTAATGATTAGAAAATAGCTTTCTAAAGAAGCTTCAGGAACTGCACATACTTACTCTGACAGGTGCTAAATACGCTAAACATAATATGTATAAATTCCTCACTCCAGATGTGTGAAAAACAAGAAATAAAAGAAGTATTGTTCAGCAAAGATAKATCTGAGATGTTCATGCCTGGGTCTCACACACCTACTGGAGTTCTGCTCCCAGCAGCTTTTTGGAATGGAAACAAAGTGGTAGTGATCAATCAGGCCTCTTTCTCCCAGGTCTCCAAAAGTGSAGGACTACTTGTTCAGCCTGTACCAAATAATTCAATATGAGTTGATAGGAGAGAAGCAGCTCAGCCATAAAAAAAAATCAAGGAATGAACTATGCGGTGGTTCAGCAGCAGCGGAGCCCCATTAGCACTTACTAGTTGTGCTGATCACAACCAATCATACTGCAATTATTACAAACATTTATAGAAACATTAGGCTCATGATTCTCTATTAGACTAAAATCAAAGTGGCTGTTGCATGGCATAACATAATTCCAGCTTTCAGAAAAATAATTGCATGATATATGAAAATGCCTTCAAACCAAATATCTGCTTCCTTACGCATGCTTTTGACACCTTACCTTGTCTGCTTGTAGTGTTCATTTCCTAAGCACATTTAAGCTGCACTGGTTAGTATAATAAAACATAATTCTTACTGACTAAAAATTAACTTTTGCCAAACTGATGCCAGTACCTAGTTTCATGTCACATTTTTATCAGTATGCTGCAGTGGGGCAAACAGACTACTAAGGAGATGCTTTTATGACTGGATGTGGAACATATTGCCAGACTATTGTGACACTGTTAGAGCTGATACTGTGCAAGCTAGCTCATGGACAGAGAGGTTTGTGTTCTCTGTGGTTATCAATCTGTTGCTTTTCAAGGAGCAGTAAAGAGCCAAACTTCACAGTAGGAGAGAAAGCCTAACCATTGATTTGTGTTAGCTTTAAGTAGCTTCTACATTTTTTACACAAAATAAATTTTAAAAGTCCCTGTAATTATAAATAAGCTCAGTATTAATCTTTATATTATGAGCTTATTATTTCATTAGTTTCCTTGATTGTTATTTCCATCACAAAACAGAAGCACAGTTGTCACATCAAAGGGAGCATTTTCTCAAATCCTGTATATTTGATTGATCTGTCAGCACTCCACGCAAGCCAAGACCTGTGTGTATCATCACTCTGTCAATGTCCTGTTACAGTGACTCTCCACTGAGCTGCCCACTGGATCAGAGGAAGTTCAGCTGGATTATTCAGGGACAAACACCAACAGTACAAGAGAGGCCCTGTCCCAGGTCTTTGCACTTTTATTCAAGTGTGTTGCTGCTGCTGGCATCTGCCAGTGCCCTTGAAGGATTCACACCAGTGGTTTAGGGGATAACACTCTTTATTGATGTACACACTGATAGTAAAAAATTGTGATAGGTTAAAGTTCAGAGATTGACAGTGATAGTATCTGACTGCAAAAATGTATTCAAAGCAATATCCAGACAAGCTCTAATCATCAATCAAACCTAGCTCAAGATGGTCATTCTGTGAGCATAGAACATGGTTCTTACCCAATAGACATTCCTTTCAGGGAGGAGACAGGTTCAGCCTGCCCACTGATCCCAGAAGTTATGATGGAGTCTTCTCTAACTTTTCCTCATTCTTTAATTAATTTTATGCTGTTTGTTTACATTCAAGTGGAGTTTGAGTGACTCCAGTGATACATACCTTTGCTAATGAGAGTGTAAAATTCTTCTCTCTTAAAGATAAAATCAATAAAATATGGAGTGCATGCTCAGTGAGGAGTGGTCATACCTTGAAGGCAGGTTGCTTTGGGATGGAGATGTGTGTTAATATTAGTTAGGATTTATGAACCAAGTTCATCCAAGGACAATGATTTCACCACAGTTGCTGACTCAGCAGCAAGACACAGTCTCCTATCTCCCCTGGCTGACAGGTGCTATCTGGCTTATCAGCTGCAAAGTACTATCAGATCCCCTCCCTGCAAGGATTACATCAGAGCCTGACCTCTGTGTCTCCATTCTGCTCCACCTYCCATTCCATTCCCCTTAGCACGTGCTCAGGGTTGCAGATTGGGTGCATGGGSAGTCATGGTGGAATAGGTTTCGGGCATGACAACCACATTCCATGCAGGGAGCAGAAACTCTGTTTTACCCTATAATTTCCATACTGTTCTAACTTCTGCTTGAAGGTCAATATAACCTCCCAGCTTTCTCTGATTTTACTCCAGTCTYCCTCCCAGTGGCAGTCACGTGCAGGCCTGTTACTCTATTTTGAACTCTTATCAGTAAGGGCTGTACTACACAATGTTTAATTACCTGATGTAAATGCCACACCACATATACGAACTCATGTAATGTAAATAAAAGGGTTTGGATTAAAAAGGTGCAAAGCAGAAGTTTTTGTTTCCCCAGCAGTACTCTACAGACTTGTGTATGCACTGTACTGTGCTTCTGCTGGCTTCTGGTTTCTGTGTAATGTAAATGGTCTTCAAAGAGAAAAAGTTACATCTCTATCTACAATGGCCCCAAGAAACCTTCAGCTTCATCAGAAATCTGCTTTTTCAAGTAGTGATGAGTCACAGGAACAATTTTRTTCTTTGAGAGCCCTCCCTTGGTTGGTTAGAAATTAAACATTCTCATTTAGCACTAAATAAAATCTCTAAAGCCTCAATCATACTTGAAGAAAGCAAGCTAATCCTTAGAAAGCAATGCTTTTTGAAAGCAGTTTTGATCATCAGCATGATTTGCTGTTCAAAGGAAACCGTTTATGCATTTATGCAAAGGGATGAAAATAATGTAACAGCTTCATTCTTCAGTTCTGTGATAGTCATTAACATTTTCTTGAGTTAAAAACAATTTTGTATCTTTTTTCTACTTGCTGTAGCTACTGTTTTTCTGGAGTTTTGGAAAAGAAGGCGAGCAGTAATTGCATATGACTGGGACTTGATAGACTGGGAAGAAGAAGAGGTTTGTATAAAAAACTTGTACCCCTTAATCTGTATGGTTTTATTTTGCATTTATTTTCAGTTCTTACTTTGAATCATTATAGATTATGAGATAAGCATTTTTCTTGTCAGATGTTTCCTCTAGAATGTGGATAAACTTTCTCCAGGCTGAACTGTTCTCTTTTCTCACACTTTTGTAATCCAAATTAATTTGAGAGATTTCAGGGGGGAAATGCACTGTGGGAGAAATACATTTTTATTTTGGAAGCTGGAAATTCTTGACAGATCATGAACTTTGGCAAATGACCTTTTATCTTATCTTTTAGTTTGTCACTAAGGGTATTGATGGAGAGAAAGCCTTTTGAGGTTTGTGCCAGCTTCTAAACATTCAGGTGCTGGTTATCTAAGTGGTGTGGGGAGAGAGAGAGAGAGAGGAATTAATTCATTCTATGTTGGTAGAGGAATTCCCTTTAGGGAAGAAACTAAACTGCAGAAAATGGCCTTAACCTTTCCTCTGGTGGTCACTGGAAAGAAACAACATGCTCTTGGGACTGAAACTGAGGTCTAAATAGAACTAGAAAGTTTTAGGTGTCTACCAATCTGCTCTCCTTACTCTATAGAAGCCCTTGGAGAACCTGTCCTGAAGCTCTTGGAGAGATACTAAGAGGCTGCTGCATGGTCTCAATGCTGCTTTGGTGGAAGATTTTCCTTTTTATCAATCTTGCCGGCAGAGAAACAGACTGCTGAGTTATGTGATTTTTGTCTTTATGAGGCAAAGTAGTTCAGTGAGACCACAAAATGATGCAGTTGCTCATTTACTGGTAGGATTTTCTTTTAAATGTTTAATTACTAAGAAAATAACCCCAAAACATAACATGAAATAACTTACACAACTGCAATAGATTTCTTTATAACAACAGGAACATTGTTATCTGTGCACATATGCAGTCAGTTCTTGGTGGTACCTCAGGACTGTCATCACATGTATAGGAAATATTCTAATTTGATTCAACTCTCTTGAGATTAGCAGCCTGCTCTTGCCAGTTCTGGCAAGTCACAGAGGGACTGAGACAGTGCTGCCTGAAGTTCAAATAGTTGTCAGGAGTGACCTGAAGGGATCATGTCTTCTCATGGCTAATTGCAAAAAAAGCTTCTGCTGCTGCTGCTGCTGACAGGTAAAGCAAAAGACAGCTGTACCAAGCTGCAATTTCCAAGTGACAGTCTGGACATTCATGTCCCTGGAATGAGAAGGAGCCTTTAAACTAACAAAGCACAAAATACAGTATTTTCCCAGGAAGCCTAGTCTTGTTTATAGTTTGGGACATTATATTTCTTCATATTACACCATTTAACCTACCTGGATTTGGGATTATACTGATTTATAAAGCCRTCACCTGAATCTTCTATGACCAGTTGAATATTGAATTTCCTGGTAAGGTTATCCTTAAGGGATRCTTCACACTTTTTTTTTTGCCTTTTGTTTAGTTTGCTTTGCTTTAGGTTTTTTTGTTTGTTTCTTTCTTTCTTTTTGGGGTTTTTTGTTGTTTTTTTTGTTTGTTTGTTTGTTTTTTTAATTACCTTCATGTGATACCACTAAGTAATTTCTGGCTGCTATGGCAAAGCTTGGAGGAGTCTTTTACTTAGATGTGAACACAGCAGCTTCTAGCCCCTCCAGGACCACTTCCCATATTGTTTCACTCTCCTCTTTATGCTACTACAGAAAGTTCATGTCCTTGATGCTACTACAGAAAGTTCATGTCCTCACAGAGCCTGGAGGAAAGCATTCCACGATTCACTCCTGCTATCTAAGCTTTTCTGGAAGACCATCACCATGCCCATGCAACTAAGACTTTGGCTGGAATAAACACTGACAAGACAGAAGACAGTAGAGTTGCTAGATTTTTCCGTCACCAGCCAAAAAGCCTGGAAGAACTTATGGTAGTTGAAACTGCCCTCGTAGAAATATGTGTTTATTTTACTATGCCTATCAAATAGCATTACTTTGTTTTTATAAGGGATGTTTATATTCCTCTGGCAGATTATTTCAGTTTGGCCTGCAGGATGATATTTGCAGGTTGGTAATTTCCAGAGGGGACCTGCTCACTGTTGATGTCAGCTGGTCTTTTATCCTCACACCAGAGTTTTTCCAGTAAACTCTGTCAATAAGACCTCTGTCAGGACCAGTGGTGATTGTGCCTGCTCCAGGGCTATTCAGTGCACATCCTTACAGCTCTAGAGGGAATCTTATAAGTCTCTACAGCGGGAGGGAGAAGCTTTTTCAGAAGCAGTGTTCCTTCCTCAAATAAGAGGTTAAAGATGCTCACAGGAACTCAGTTGGCTGCTTCTCAAAGTTTTGTGTGTCCAGTCATTAGAAAGTATCTCATTTGAGGCACCAGTTCCTCCTTTTTTCAGCATTCAGTGGGATCCCAAGAGTAGGAGCTGATTGTCTCCCAGAGTTATCTTCTCTCAAGATGTTGCAGCCTCCAGTGCCCGTATCCATTGCCCAGGTCAAGCACTGCTTCAGGGTCGGCTCTGCCTCCTCTTCTTGGATATCTAATGCTGCACTTTTCCATTGGAACTCCGCTTTCTCCCTGAGAAAGTCACAGTTTGGAAGCAGGTGCTCCAGATAAAGAAGTGTTGAGATCATTTCCCTGTTTTGTGGTTCAAAGTCCACCTCTTCACTTTGCCATAACCTTTGTCTGCAAGCAGGATGACCTGCAAACCTCAGGCTTTGCATGGAGACTTGCTTCTGATAATGCTGCAAYTGTACCAGTGATCAAGATTCAAATTTTCAATCTACAAATCCTTTTTTACATCTGGGCTATAAAAGGAAAATATGCTTGGACTAGGAAGGATGGGACTATTTCAATAATTTACCTGTTGAAGGATTAGAAARCTCTTGGGGAAGAAAGGAGACATTTCATAAAGAAATTTAGAGCACCTCTCCTAGAGCATGAATATCTGGTCTAAGGCAATGCAGATTAATCCATATTTGATACCCAGTAATCAATATAGTTTCTCTTATGAAAAAGTTGGAATTATCCATATGTGAGGAATGGGAAGGAAGGTGAACCGTCTGTTTTATGTAGATTGAAAAAGACTCATCCTGTGGAGTTGTATGGTTAAGTTGTATGTCAGTGAGAARTCAATGAGATTTTTGTCTCTAGAAGGTGAACATTTTTCTCCTAGAAGTGCTCTTTTCTAACAAAATCACTGCTAATTAAATTTCTTCTCTGCTTTCCATTATCAGTAGACAAAATCAGATGATTGATTTATTAGTTATTTCAAAGAAATCAATTAAAGAGTTCTAATTACCATTTTAAATCTCAAGCTTTTGATAATGAAGATTGTTATTTTTATTAACATTATGCATYTAGCCTTTGCTTGCCTTAATTTTCATTGTGAAATTAAAAAATAAGGTTTTGCTACAGAGGGAAATTTATTAATTCCTACCAACAATACACTGAAAAAAAAAAAAAAACATTTATAAGGCTTATTATCACTGTGTAATCACCTTYCTGTTCCAAATGAAGAGACAAATAAATGAAACTATGAAGACAATTGAAAGGAGAATAGCATTTATTCAGATATGCAACCTTGTGAATTCCTCACCACTTCAGATTCTCATCCAAGAAATTCACACAGCAATCCCTGCAGTGTTCAGGGCCTTCAGTCTGGGACATGAACTCAATGTGTTCTGGCTCTTTCAACCCTGCATATCTGGATTTCTTGTTCTTGTAAATCAAGTGCAAGGCGGGAGGCATGGAGASCAACTGTGTCTTGTGTGCAGAAACCAACTGCACACAGTCCTGGCACTCCCAGATGAAATATGGCTTCTGTTGCTATTTGTAGCATATTTTTTCTTTTTCTTCAGTGTCACTTTCTTTGTATCAGTAACCTCAGCYGGACACGGTACTGTTTACTTGCCCAACCATTGCTGAGTATCATTAAACAGGAACAAAAGTTCATGCCAGAGTTTCAGTTACCTTTYTGAGAATACCTGTGAAAATAGCATTTACATTATTTGAATCAACAGGAGATTGTAGGATGTGTGGATGTGATAAGGACTTCCCTACAGTGCAGATTGTACAAGATAATTAAACCTTGGCTCAGAGAGAGGTGCCAAGTAAAGATTTCTTGTCTTTGACAAGTCAGCTTGCAGAGCCCTTGCACAATCTACAGGGTGCAATTTTCAAGAGCCTTGCCTCAATGCTATCACACTCTGTCCTTTTTCATGCCTCTGGGCACACAGGAATACTACTTACATTGTTCCTTTTGCCAGATTATGATCTGCTCAGCCCCCTTTGGCCCTGATATGGCAGCAGCAGCTTGAGCAAGGTAGAATAAGAACAAGGAGTTACCATGCCTCCACAGAAACATGGGTAGCCTTTGTGTATAGCTAAGGTAGGGCTGGTTCTCTCAAGTACATAATTACTTATAGAGGCACTGCAGCTAGGCACACATGCCTCTTCATTTGTTTTTATAACATGTTACCAGGTTGCTGTGTGAATTTGGAAATTAACTGTGTTGAGAAAGCATCTTCAAAACTTGGAAGAAAGAAAATAAGACACTTCTTTTTTTCCCTACCCTCTTCAGGGAAATTTATTAAATTATATAGGCTTTTAGGATGTCTCGCTTTTATTCACATTCTAAAGACTTGGGTGACCAGTTAACTTTCACCTATTTCCATGCAGTTATTTAAGGTCTGGACATTTACAGCTTTAGTCAGTCAGAGCTCAATTAAATGCAGTYGAAGGGTTGGAAATGATGGAAATTTGTAAGTTGGTTATGAGAATCCATCCTCACAGCCTGGTGATTTCTCTCACACCTGACAGTGTCCTGGATGCCACACTGGGGTGAGGTGGCACAGGACAYGTGGCTCTTGGTGAACCTCCACATGTTAGGGCAGTGGGGTAGCATTACTGCAGGCATTACTGCACCAAGGGTGATTCCTCTCTTCTGAAAATGCTGTGAAGAGATGTAACCAAATCTCCCCCCAGGTAATCCCCAGGTTTCATTTCACAAGTGGGTTTTTAATGGCAGGATTTGGCATTTCTGCTGYTGAAAGTTGTTCATGTCAATAATACTGTCCAAGTTAAGTAATTGAGCCGCATTAGATTGCATGGATCCTTCTTCAAATGCTGAGAAGCTTTTGCTGGTAATGGAAATGTAACCAAATACTCAACAAACAGCTRTTAGGTTTGGAAAAAGGAGGTTTGGTTGTTGGGAGATTCTTTTGCTTAGTTGAAAAATTCCAGTATTAATAGGATAAGGTCAGAGTGAAAAATTCTGTGGTATCAACCTTACAATGATTTGTCTTGTAGCCACATATCTTTGAAAGAGCATTATTTAGAGGAGTAGTTAATTGTGGATTTTACTAAATACTTTCAGTACTTACTTTTATGGGTACAGAGATTTATTCTAGTTCTCATGAAGGAGACCTGATTTCCCAGCTCAGCTTTTATAGTAGCTGTGCCAGCTGCTGGATTCAAAAGTGTAATTCCCCAGAAGAGTGATCTGATAAAAGATCTGAAGTTTCCTATAGAGTTTTTCCTAGCTGTGCTGTATGTGAACATTGTCTGTCTGCCCTTTAGGAGGAAATACGTCCACAGTTTGAAGCCAAATACTCCAAGAAAGAACGAATGAACCCCATATCCGGGAAGCCAGAGCCTTATCAAGCATTTGCAGACAAATGCAGCAGACTCATCGTTTCTGCATCTGGAATATTTTTTATGGTTTGGGAACTTTTATTTATTTACCAGTTGAAAAAGAACAAAGTYTCATTATCTCTGCTAGTAGAGTAGGTAAACATTTGGATATGACTGCTTGAAAGGGAAATAAGCTCAAGCATGTTTTCCACAAAATCTGAAAATCTCCATAGCAAACCACTTGAACTTCTGTCAAGTCCTACACCGGTTCAATCTTCACTARGTCTCACAGACTAAGTCCTTTCTTCAAGGAGATACCTGTAACACTGTACATAGTGACACGTGCCAGAATATTGACACTGTCACAATTAGGCACCAACTTCAGCTGACTGAATTACCTCACTGGTAGCTTTCCCTTTGTATATAGTGCAGAGTGATAGGGATAGTTGCTATAGAAGAAGCAGCTGTTCTTTGTAAACTTCACAGAGAACCTAAATAAGATGCTTGGAGTGCTTAATGATGTTAATGTGAGCTAGTTTTTCTGTGTATTGAGGAGATAAGGAAAGAGCGTTCATAATCCTAGTGCAATTGGAATGGAAAAACCAATGTTCCTTGCCTAAGATGATGCATTTATCCCCTTTTACAAAGTGAAAAACTAAAAACAGCAGCAAAATGTCTCCTAACAGAGAGCTGCATGCATTTCTACTGAAATGCCTCCATCCTCTAATTTYAGTGAAGCAGTTATGAACTGTAATTCACATGACAGAAGGCTTGGTAGTGCCTTGAAAACACAGCTGGAATCAACAGACTGYCACAGAATTTACTCGGGCTTTTCCATGAGACAAGAAAATGATAGATGAGCGCAGCCTCAGGAGCTGTGCAGAGCCAGGTAGGCAAGCTAACCCAGCAACAGGGCAGAGGACAGTAAAAAACTGATGGCTTCAAAATTGTCCAAAGCAATGTAGGTCAAGAAAAGCAAGAGCATTATTGAGGTGAACCGTGCTCTGGTACATCAGGTGGATGGACACCCTGACTCAGTCCTTGAGGAAACGTGCTCAGGACTGCAATCTCTGCTCAGAATTGACACTACAACTCTGACGTTTTGAGTATTTTCCCTGGATTTTTTTTATTTTTTTTTTTAAGGGAGGCAGCATTTTCCCCTACACGGGCTCAGTCATTAATTTTAGCCTAGTGATAGATCTTACTCAAAGTGCCAGACAGAGTAACTTTGCTCTAAATTGCATTCACCACAAATTATTGTCCTCAGAACAGCCCTGGAAACTGGACAAAAATTATTTTCACTGAGGATATTGGCATAGCATGGGCTTCCAACAGGTTAGAAAAACTCCGTATTTTTGATCACTTTGATCTAAGATTTTTTTTTTTTTTTTTAAGTAACAACTATAAGCACAGGAGATACACACTTAACAAACTTCAAGTTAGAGCAGTTCTCAAAATTCTCAGCMTTGACTCTCACAGGGCAGTTTCTAATACAGCTTTAACCGGGTAAGTGATTCCCTGTAAGGAAAAGAGAAGTGGTCCTTTCCCTCAAAACTATACAGGGAATTCAGAGACAATCCTTCACATTCACATGGACTTTTCTTTTTACTTCTCCATTGGGATTTTGTCAATCACTTTTGTAATCAATGTGAAATTATGAAACCAGCTTGATTAGTGTTTTCTGACTAATTTTGTCCATTTAATTAACTTGGATATGCCTCCATTTGGATTGGTTTAAGTTGCCTGTGTACAGTCTTGGAACACACCTCTTTGGCAAATAATTTTCTGCCTTCTACTGAAGAAAGTCCTTCTTCTTGTTTAATAAGGCTRATGGAGGCTGTGTCAAAGTGTCTTTGAGAGGAGTCACTCATACCAATTCCCAACTATTTGGCCTTTAGGTGGTTTGCCAAACTGAGACATAAATTGGTCACGATGGGAAACAGTTGTCATTTAGAGCTCAACTGTTGCATAAGGAACTTTAAGTGACTAAGCAGCCTGGCTCAGCTGTGGATTTCTCATTGTAGCTGCCACTTTTGCTGAAAATTTCATCAAAGAGACCACAAGCGCAATTGAAATTGTTACCTTCTCTGGATAGATGATTTCCAGAACTGTAGCAGCTAGCTAGGCTAGTTTGGCAGGGGAGTTGATGAGGCAGTGCCCACAAATGGAGACATTTGTGTGGAGTGTGAAGTCCATCAAAGCACAAAATCCATCCCAAGTATGACACCATCAGCTTTACATGAGCCTTTGCACATCATGTGTAGATAAGTAAAATTTCTAACTCCCAGAGCTGGAAACATTGTTTCCCACAATAATGCTAAGGAAGAGGAATGTTTCCAGGAAAAGGTTTAAAACTAAAGATTGTTTTAATATTATTTCAGAGATTTTCCCATTATGAGAAATAAAAAGAAAAAGAAGAAAAATCATCATGTTGGAACCTTTCTCTGGAATCAAAGAGAATGCATTTATAAAGTCTTTCATTTCATTTAATTTTCAGAGTTTCAGGGAGAAGGTAACTCCTGTTCCACTGGAAGTTTTCAGGTTCTTCTCTCTGATTTTTTCCTTCCTTTAGATCTGTGTGGTGATTGCTGCTGTTTTCGGCATTGTTATTTACCGTGTTGTGACTGTCAGCACTTTTGCTGCCTTTAAGTGGGCTTTAATCAGGAATAACTCTCAGGTTGCAACTACAGGGACTGCAGTGTGCATCAACTTTTGCATCATCATGCTGCTGAATGTGGTGAGTAAAATTAACATATCCAAAATTATACCTGGGCCACCAGAGCAGTGGATATCTCAGTCAGCAGGCAACCAAATGTTTTCAGTTCCTTTTTTCAGCAGGAGTGGAGTGACTTGCTAAGACAGACATGGAATTATTGTTTATGGACATCATTCACTATTTATATAAAGTGTGATTCCAAACTCCAAGTATTATGTGAAGCATGTTTGAATATTCCGAAAATATTTTAGGAAGACATGATCATACTCCTGCTTTATCCTCTGCCACTTCTTTTCCTTTTATATATTTGCAGGCTTCAGCCCATTAATATTCTTCATTTTAATTTGTGTTTTTTACATACAGTGACAAAGCTAAATTCTTGTTTACACTATTTTCAGTAATTCCAATTTCAGTTTTTGGTAGTTTTCCAGTGAGGATGTTCATATACAGACACAATGTCCATAAGTAGAGCTCTCTTGAACAAACATGACTTGTTCCAGAGCTGCCCACAGCCTTTGGCAGGCTGCACCAGAGGCATGGACTGGGTGCACTGTAGTGGAGCTGGCTGATGGTGGGTTATGGTTTGAGCTGATTTGGAACCAGACTTGGGACAGAGACAAAAATGAAATTTCTGTGTGAGAACAGTCCCAGGAAGACAGTGTAACATAGATGAGATGGGGAATGAGTTTCATCCTTCTGTTGAGACGCTGATACTCCTGTATTGCCCTGACAGCAGTGTCTGCTCTTTGTTGCTCTTGGCAAGAGGTCTGTGGCCTTTCACTATCAGGTTTTTGTCAGCTGACATTACAAGAATGCCTTTTCTGGGAAAGGAGGGTTCAACCTACAAACCACCCCTGTACTGGAGCCAGGGTGGAATGTCTCTACCTACTCAACAGCAGGCATCTTCTGCAAAAAATATGTCAGGCTTTGCTCCGGGAGATGATTTACTTGCTGGGAAGAGAATGAGATGTAATTTCAGGTCTGCTGATTTCCGAGCACTGTATTGGAGACTACTTTTTTCCTCTGCAACATCCAAGCATTTTCATCATCTAAAAATTATTTTTAACAGACCCTTGTTTATATGGCAGGAAATTCCAAGAGTCTTTGCTGCAGGTCTTTACTTCTTCCTTTGGTGCAGACAAGACTGGAGCGGTGACTAAGTCTATTTAGAACTGTTGTCCTTCCTGTTTTCCCTTAGGTGGGACTATAGGCTGAGAAAGGCCAGAAAGAAGAGGAGAAAGCCGGTTTTTGTCTGAATTTGTACTGAGGGCTCTCTTCTTTTGTTAGTTTTATTTTATTGGATCTTGTAATTCAAAACCCCCAGCTTTTGGGGGTTTTCTTTACTCTACCTAGAGCACACAATAGCATAAAAGAAATAAAAAGAAAAGTAGATATAACTGTGCCAGTGCAACATCCATTTTCAAGCTCTCAGTATAAGTCATTGTATATGCAGTGAAGCAGCAACAAAGAAACGCTGCACTAAAAAAAAATATTTCATTCTCAAGGAGTTTTACAGCTCAGAGAGTTTTTTTAAGTAATGGAAGATTGCTTGAAGGTGCCTCTTGAGAAACTTTGTTTTATTTCCTAAAATAATCAAGTAAGTGGAGAACTGCAAAGATGGATTTCTTAAACCTCATACTCATCACCATTCAAGACACCAGAGCCTTAGATATGGATACAGCTCATGGAAGAAAAAGGTCCACAAAATATGAAACTGCAGGATCTTTTCAAAGGAAGGATTTAGGAACATAATCCTTTGCTTCCCATGATGGATTAATGTAGTTTAGTGAAGGGCAATGGTGGGATTTCATTTGGGAGAAAAAAAATCCCCAGAAGTTATTCAGCTAGTTGAATCCTCCATGAACGGTAACTCAAGAAAAGTGTCAGAAGAGCAAGCAAAGATACAGTAATAAAATCAGAATGGACCAAGATGTACACAGCAGTAGAGAATATACTGCTAGAGGCCTTGAAAACCAGCAGTGATTCTGATGCAAGTTGACACCTCTCAAAGCATCAGGGGAAAGGTCCAGACCACAAGTAAATTCGAGACCAGATGTTCTGAGCACTCAGTACCTACTCTGACACATCCATCATGACAAAATAAAATGACCTTCAAGCAGCCTGACATGAAAACAATCACTAGCTTTACCTAGGTTATTAAAACCTGTAAATTCCAGTAATAGTGCCCATGGAAAATACAGAGAACAGAGTATGATCCCAAATAGGGTCCCTTGGGGTAGCAGTGATAAACTACAGTAGCAGATAATTAGATCCAAACAATGTTAACAGAATCTCTAACACACTCTTACTGTTCCGAACAGAATAGCAACAATTTGAAGTTTTGATAACCCCTTCTGCAGAGCAGTGTACATTTGTGAAAAAAACACATTCTCTGCTGTGATCAGGATGTAAATGACCCAGGCATTTAGCACATTTACAGTTGCCCTTAAGAGATGCTTTTAAGCCCAGAAGAAAATGCCTTTTCATTACTTGAAACAAAACCATTTGTCCAAAGGCAGTAGAAAGCTATTCTAAGCATGAAGTTGTTGCTAACACAGATGAGAGATTTCAGGATGACTTCAGTTGTTAAGCAGGCAGTTTGATCTGTAAACAGTACATAACTCAGTTTAAGCAAGAGATATTAAGGATAACTGCAAATAAAAAGAAACATTGTGGATATGCACTGTAGGAGTAAGTAAATACTTGAGCCTGAAAAATGAGAGGCTTTGTATCCYTGTAGGCATCAGTGAGAATTAAAGACATTTAGCAATTTGTAGGAACAGGCTTCAGACTCATTTAAAGCAAATAGAAGTCATTGTATTAATTTACTCTAATGCTGATGTTGTTGGTTATGTACTTAATAGGTTCAAAACTCCTTTGCAAATACTTATTGTAAAAACTCTCCAAGTTAGTTTTGTAATCTTTATTAAGTCTCCTGGAGAATTTGAGAGCATGGTATCTGAACATGCAGGAAGTACCACTTACAATTTAGAAAATGACACTGGCACAGAGTAAGAAATGTGGTGTTGTGCTGGTGGTGTGGATTACTAAAGATTTTCTCTGAAGTAGCCCAGCCCCCCCCCCAATGTCTTTCAGCACTAAAGTGCCAAACAAAACCAAAARAAGCCCTAAATACCAAATATATCTATAAAATGCTCTTCTATGACTTTTTTTTCTTGTGAGATAAATGTTCCMTGAGTAGCTAAAACAAAAATCTCAGTTGTGCTATTGTGCTGCATTGTGTTTTTTGGGAAAGTTCTCTCAGACTTTTTCACTGTATGTGTAAAATAAGGACAGTGACAGAATTTCAGCTCCATATATTGTGGATGATCATTAGATATAAAAACATTACTTATACTTTTTTTTGTTACATCATTACTGTATTGTTATGTAGTTTTATTGTCATTATCAGAGCATCACAGAAATCATCTGCATGTCAGATTTAACATGTTCCCTCYTTAGAAAGCAGTTCTATATTTTTGAGCTGGCCATGTAATTAAGAGGCTGTTCCTTCTCTGTTACAGCTGTATGAAAAGGTTGCTCTTTTCCTGACAAACTTAGGTAAGTAATATTAAATATGAAATTGAATAATGCTGTACTGATTTATTGGTCCACACACCATGATAAYACTCAAAATTCCTGTATAAATATGAAAAAATCCTAACTAATTTGGAGTTTATATGAATTAATGTTTTTCTTAAGTTTATTATTAAAAAGTACATAAATTAAACTACTGTGCCATTGAATCAGTGGTTGACAGTAATCATCCATCTTTGTTCTTGTTTCAACCCCCATACTATGTAAGAACACAAACAAAATTTTTTACTATGAATAAATGTAAAATAGTAGCTTTGGAGGAAAAGGCATGAGTTTTCAGACAGACTGAACACCCATAACGTCCAGGGTTTGCAAACACATGGAAAAGGGGGGTCACTTCTGGAAAATCAATCTATATCTTGAAATTAAGGTGCTGATTGGCTATCAAACATTTGCCTGTGAGAAGGACAGTAAGGAGGGAAAATAACTCGGTTAATCATCAACTCTAGCTRGACCTAAACTGGATGATGTTCTAAATTTCAGTAATCTTTTCAGGCCACTCACAAAGGAAATCTTTATGCTAGAGTAAGGAAACCTGTTTTCTAAGGAGACCATCTACTCTCATTGGGGTAGCAACAGGCTGTCATTCATATCRCCATGGCTCAGACAGAATCTATGGAGATCCTGATGTTTTTGGAAGATTGCAGTAGTTGCTGGCAATTGGCAAGGGCTCCTCAGTGTCAAGAAGCCTGAAGTGAGACTCTGGCTGAAGGCCTACTACACAAACCATATTGTAGCATGTATACAAGTTTCAGGAGGTTCTTTTGAGCTCCTGGAAACCTGTGCACATTGATGATTTTCAGCAAATTGTTTTGGACCAGATGGACAGATTTTGGTGTCTGCTCAGAGGAAACAGCTCATTTTAGCTACTCTCAGGGCTCTTCTACATCTCTGAAGTCATTGATTGATGTATTAAAAAAAATCTGTGTACAATAGAATTTTATTTTTTTGTTTCATATTAAACTGAGAGTCCTCATTTGCATGCTMTAGTTTTAAAATAATTTTGCTATCCTGTATCCATGGAGAAGATATCTGCTAGCTGCAGTTGAGAAATATGACTTCCAAGTTTCTGAATTGTACATGTTATGTCGAGACACCCTGGAGACAGTAGAAATAGTCTAGAGACCTTGAAGCTTGATTTCTTTCTGTTGGGTTCTCATCAAGGTAGGTCTGCTTTTTGCAGAAGGCACTTGTACAAAAATTCAGTGGGTCGGGTTGTTTCAATCACGTTCAGACTGTTTTGTGATTTTGACTCTGATGGCCTAAGGAACTGATTTGATCTGAATGATCTTTATCAGTGTAATAAGCTCAAAGTGGTATGGGCAGCAAAACTACACTGAGAACTTTGAGGATGTCCTTCTTCAGCCTTTACATGACCTTTTTCAAAAATGACATCCATSCTTCTCCAGAGCATCACTATTGCCTCTGATGGGCATTTAAGCAAAGCTTCATCTTCAGCAGCCAAGTTGTAATCAAACTTGTGCTTCCTGCAGGCTGGCATCTAACAAAAGAGCTGCTCTCAGTAAAGAGGATCTAGTTTATTGTTGTTTCTGTACTTCCAGTACTCTACAGGAGGCTCCTTTGGAAGTAGTATATGAGTCGTACCACTATGATACTCAGAATCACCACTAGTACCTTCTCTGCTCACTGCTGTCCTGTCWGCAATGGTCAGCTAACAACAATGGCCAGCTGGAAAGTAATTCCAGAACATGGTGCTGGTGTATTGGCATGGAGATTGTCTTGTTAACTTCAGTCTTGATACTTCTTGATATTTTTTGAAGGATCTGTCTTTCCCTTTTCTGTTTGTCTTAGCCCATGCACTGCAGAATATTTTTTCTTGGTTTTCTGTGATGAGTTCCCTGGGACAAAGAAGGGGCGCCATGCAGTGATGATCCACTGATACATGTGGACAAATCCATAAAATAGATTTAAAGGGAGGATTTTCTTCACTGCACTGTGACATCTCTAACAAAAAGGCACTTAAATAGCTTGTGTTGGAGCGACAATGTCACTATGGTAGGATACAGAAAAGGAAATGAGAGAAGAGCCTGTAAAGACCACTTAAATGCAGGAGGGGTGTTTAATATGTGCATTACCTCGACCACTTTCTTACGGTCTCCTGGGAACATACATACACATTTCTAAGTCCCTACAAGCTCCCTTGCCGAGTGCTGCTTTTGGATACAATTTCTTCTGCCAGGTTCTATTTTGAAAACAGCAGGCTAATTTACAAATACGTTGCCAGGTCTGGTAGTTGTGTGCAGCCTTTGTGCCAAGGGAAGTTGATAACCCGAATAAACCTCTGAAACTCTGGTAATTTTCTTTACAGAGCAGCCTCGCACCGAATCGGAGTGGGAGAACAGCTTCACTCTGAAAATGTTTCTTTTTCAGTTTGTCAATCTGAACAGCTCTACCTTTTATATAGCATTCTTCCTTGGAAGGTAGGATTGATGTCTGCACACTCATATGTGCAAAATGAAGTAGGGAGAAGAAATAAAGTTGTTTGTAATGAAACAAAATGGACTATATTATCACACATTTCAAAATGCAAATTCCATACTAGCAAGGCAGAACAGATTGCAATTTCATATTCCTTTCAAAAACCCAGAAACAGATGCAGTTTTCATTTCCWATCACCACATGGTGTCAATACTAACTTAACAATTTCACTATTGGAAACAGACGCATCTCACAATACCATATATGCAGGTCATTTCACTCTGTCTTTATGCATGCYACTTGTACAGATATTAAAATAGAAGGATACGATAGGTCAGTTGGAAGCRACCTGATTGCGTGATCTGGACTGTTAAGAGTGCATTATGAGCTATAATTTGGGGTTTTTTTCCACATTTGTATTTATTATATATGTTGTATATATTATGTATTTATTGTATATTTTATATATATATGTATGCATGTGTATATATAGCTATATGTATATTATTTTTATATCTTTTTCTGTCAGTCTCCTAAAAACAAAAGAACTTTTTAGTAGAGAAGGTTTGAATAGATGAATACATTAGTATGAATTATTTGCATAGGAGAATAATATTGGCAGGAAACATGGGAGAAGAGTTAGAAAATTACGTTTTCTAATGGAAACTAAAATTTCACAGGAAGGCAGACATCACAGAGCATTTCATAGTGTAAGGAAATGGACTGGCAGTTGAAAGCCATTTTCCAAATGAGCAGTTTCAGTCAGATTTTCCCTTTGCACTGCATATGTTGAATATCCTACAGTGGAGTATTTGGTATTGAAATAAAACTGAAAGTAAAAATATCCTTAGTCCTTCATGGGGATTATTACAGGAATACCCATAAAACATTTTATAGCATGACAACTTTTATAGTTATATAAAATTATATAACTATAAAAGATATAAGTCACTTTAAGATAACACCAGATTAAAAATAAGAGTGTGAGCTTTCTCTTACTACTGTGAACAGACTGCTTACACAACATAGTTGATATCTGTTCCTGTGTTCAAGATTTACAGGACACCCTGGTGCCTACTTAAGGCTGATAAACCGGTGGAGGCTGGAAGAGGTGAGTGTTCAATAACTGCACCCTGATTTATCCGCTGTGAATGCAAGCAGAGGCACACATAACTCTGCCTAGGCATTTCTGAGTGTGTTATTGGGTTTTCAGCTGCAATCTTAACTCCACACTGTTGACACTACTATCTGCTACAAAAGCATCTACATATTGATATATATATATTCCCTGTTCAATTCTAGCTGTTTTAGTGTTTGCATCACATACAGATAGTGGCGTCAGATGGTTTAAAGATTACTCACATATTTACACTGGTAGTGTTTTATCCTCAGAGTGAATCAAAATCAGATATGAATCTGACAACTTTTTGCTTCTAAAAATTCCTTTCTTCTCAGTTTTTCTAGCCTTGTGGATCAGAGAGCTAAACAATGAGGTATTGAATTAAAAATCCAGACACATAAAATATATGTGAAAGTTGACCAAACCAACTAAACAAACTTCCCAAACATGCAACTGGCTTAATGTTCCGTGTTAATAAAACCAAATGAATATGGAGAGGAATGAGAGTTTGGCTTTGCAAGGTACTCAAGGACCAATCCCTTTTTATTTATCTTTCTTTTAACAAATACATTCAGAATTCAAAGCCCAATTGACAGTTATAAGAGGTGAACAGCAGCAGTTTCTGGACCAGTCATTTACTTTCCAGTGCTTTTATGTGCACACTCAGATCCCATGGTGTCTTTCCTGCTTCACAGATGAATAATTGAAACAACTTTGCAGATAAATGACAAATGGTAAGTGGAAAATGCCTGTCAACATGGATTTTCAAACACTTCTGGATACATAAATATTTTGGTTAATAGAGGCCATTCAAATACTAGCCAAAAAAAAAAAAAGTATAAAACAATCTTAATTTTGTAATGAATTCTGTTCACTCAAGGAAAGAATACTTGATAAATGGACAGAATTTTGCTTAAAACCCCTCAAAAATCTGTCTGGGGCTGAGCTGATCTAAAATCTTGCTGCTGTYAAAGAAAGACAGTTCTGCTCTTCCTTTGAGTCCTCCCTTTGAGGTTTGCTCCTTCCTCTTCCTTTACCATGATTCTCACTTGTCCAACCCCATGAAGAGCTTATTCAATTCCTTTTATCGGCAGTAAACTTGTTTTTTCTGGCTGAACTAGTTTTCTGATGATTTAGTGGGCTTATTCATCTCACAGAGGAATCAGAGGACAGGGAAAGAACTTCATGTCTCTGCAAGAGCAGAGATGGGAGGAAAACAGAACCAGGTTTGGGAGAAAAGTGCAACAGTGAGGTGTTACAGGTTGGGTCAGTTGCTGATGGAAGCTACTCTTAGTAGTCCCTGTCTAGCTTTTCTCAGAGAAAAGAAGAGTCTACTAATTTTTAAAAAAGTCTGTATCTGTGCTAGGTCTTGTTAGAAACCTGCTTTAGAATGTAACCTCGAGATACACCTCGAACAGCCCTCTGCCAAGTGTAAGACTTTGAACAACACCAGCCCAGTGTCCATGGACACGCTCACACCACAGTTTATATATTATTGATGTTATGGTTGTTGCATCACTGCTACTTCATGAACACTGCACTTACCTCTCTACGGTTATATTGGCTCATGGGACTGATTCCTAAAAACAGGAGGATGAGGATTTAGTAATAATGACATAGAAAAAAAAAAACAAAAACAAAAACCCATCACGCAATTAATCTAGAGAGATGCCAAATGAGGTCAACAGAAACCTCAGCARGGATCCAGATTCTGAGTGCTGGATAATGCAGTCTGTACAAGAAATTCATACCTCATTTTGTTACATGTCATAGATAATTTTTCTACCTACAAGTTAAAGAGAAATAATTCCAGTTCTGTGACAGTGATTTATCTATAATACCCAAGATTTAAAAACACAACTTGAACTGCACTCTTTGGATCTGCAAAGCCCATTGTACAAAGYCCTGTTTGAAGGCAGAAAGCTTTTGTTCCCTTTCTGTTTTTTCCAATAATAGATAAAAAATTACCTAAAWTCGTGCTAGCTGAATGTCTGTCCCAAAAGCAGCACCACAACTTCAGGGTCTGGGGGCACTGACAAAGAAAGCACTCAACATGAAACACTAAGGATTTCTTTTAAAAATAAGGAGAATGTATTTAATTTCCTTTTAGCAAATGAGCAAATGTGCATTTATATCCTCTAAGTAATGCTTTAAAACTCAGTATAATTTCTCTTTGACATTTTATTTCTTTTTTTTCCTGTAGTGCCACCCTAGTGGATGCCTTATTGATCTCTGTATGCAAATGGGTATTATAATGGTGTTAAAGCAGACGTGGAATAATTTTATGGAATTGGGATATCCGTAAGTAAATATAATACCTATGCTTCTGAAGGTCACAGAATAATAAGTTTATGCTTTCCTTATGGCCAGTTAATAAAAGCAAGATAAAGTAGTCATTACAAAATTCCCCCTCCACCCCCAGGATACAGAACTCCAGATATGTAAATGGTGCTTGGGACTTTTTTCTACATTGGAAATGGTTTGCAAAAGTGAAAGTGTAATATAAATATTAACAAATAAGTAATGTATGGSAAGAACTTGATTTTGTTATATTGTATTCTGTGCTCTAAAACTCCTTAAAAATAACTGCATGACCACTGTGTTGCTTTCATGAAAAATATTATGTGTATCATTTCTTAGCTATGCCAGTAAATTCTAAACTGGATTTCTTGCTGGRTGGTAAAGGAGACCTGAAAGAGCTGGTACGAGCTGGAAAAATTGCACTGCTCTCATATACACTTTGAGAGACAGAAAAATGTACTGACTTATGTAGGCAAGTTCCCTGGTGATCCTCAGGGTATTATGGASCTGTGCCCTAGCTAAAAGGTTGGCAATTATTCATTTCCTATTAGTTCRTTCCTTATTGATTCACATTTAATGAGCATGTTTAATATGATTAATATAGATTTAATATGATTAGTGTTGTTGGTGCTAGAGACAGTGTAGCTGGTCATCAAGGGAAATTAGCAAGTGTGAAAATCTGWGAGAGAGCTGACATTGTCAGAAAGTTTGCTCTTGCAAAGTTCAGAGGGGTTTGCTATTTCTCCATCTTTCCTGGGTCTTGCCAGTATTTTGCAGCTGTTAGATCTGCAGGAATTTGTTGGGATGGAGAAGGGAACAGTAGCAGCAGTATTGATCCTTCTCTTTCCACTCCCTACCTCTTTTGTCAGAACTCTCAGCTTTCTATTAATTCAGATCTTGAAACTTAATAAAGAGCAGAGAAGAGAAATAAAATAGAGACAGGAGGAGATTGTTTAAGAAGTGATTTAATAGGAATAAACTGCTTTACAAGGCAAATCACAACATAAAAGACACAGTCACAACATTGTGAAATGTTCTGCTTATTCTGATGAGAGAAGTGATTGGTCTCCAGACCCTTCAGTCCCCCTTTCAGCCCTGAAATTCTGCAAGAAGGTGCATTTCCCTTCTGTGTGAAAAACACCTTTCTGCTACGAGCATGATGGCAGCCAACACAATGAGGATGGCCAGAGGACTTGGAGGCAGCCCTGCAATCTGTAATTGAATTGCACTCAACTGCGCTCAAATGCACCTACACTTCTTTAAGGAAGAGGAAAAGCTGTAACCCTTCTGATAAATTACGTAAATGGAAAAATAATCCCTAAGCTTTAAGAAAACAAGCAGTTGTCCAAATCCAATGATTATTTGCCTACTATTCACAAACCAGAGCAGGCCACTACGAAGGCAAGRAGTGATGCACTGTCAGGAAAAGGACTGAATTATCTGAGTGATCTACCATGTTCTGGCTTACTGAGATAAAGTTGTGAACCACAGCTTTCAGAGAAGATCTCTGTCATTGTGGTTTGGGGATTTTTTGCTCTCTATACTAACTCCTAACCAGTGTCCTTCGTTGTTCTTTTCAGGGCAACTCCCTGAAAAGGTGTTTATTTCAGATGCAAGCATTCATTTCTCTTTTGGCTCAGTGCCTCTCWCAGTGGTCTTACACACGCCTTTTTTGGGAACAGTGTCTTCCCCCTGGTGTCCAGTACAGCTCCCATGGCTGCTTGAGAGGGGGGTAGCTCATTTGTCAGCCATCCATCTCTCAGCCACCATGTGTTGTCAGTGGTTCAGACACTTCTTTCTCCCTCTTGCTGCACTGAATGTTTGGCTGCAGACATCATTCAGGGTTGCCTTTTCCCTTCAGGATTGCCCAGACTGTTACCCTCCTGTAGAGCAGAGCCATGCAGAGATGCCAGGTCACACAGAGGAAAGGGTCAAGCAGCGTTAGCACTCTGTTTACTGAGTACAACTATCTCCACACAGCATTGCATTCTGTCATATAAGCAGACCCTGAAGTGATTTGCCATTCTGTGCAGAGAAAAAGAAATAAATAAATAATGAAAATATGTYAAAATCCTGTTACCATTTTAACAACATCTAGGCCTGGATTACAGCTCATCAGCTGTATCTGTTTTCATACCTATTGTGTTGTGTCATCAGCCACATGTATTACTAATGCTCTATTTTCCTGTACATTGGGAAATTAATTTTGCAAGATGTGTTGTACCCACTTTAACCTCTTCCAGTTTTGTGATAAATAGCCATTGATATTCTTTACCTTGTTTCTTTAATTTAATTTAAAATGTAGGCTAATTCAAAACTGGTGGACCAGGAGAAAACTACGACTAGAGTATGGCACACAGGGAAAAACAAGCTTTCCACAGTGGGAAAAGGACTACAATCTGCAACCTATGAATGCTTATGGACTCTTTGATGAATACCTAGAAATGAGTATGGCTCTAACCTTTGTTCTCTCTCTTTCACTAGATYTTAATGTTGTTGCTTTTTTGTTGATGTGGGCTGGTGTATTCTTTTAATTATCAATATATGGAGCTAAAGAGACTGCAGAGAGGTTTTTATTCTCACAGGTAGATGAGGAATGGGAATAAGAACCAAACCAAACTTTTAGTTAAGTACACTGCTGATGGCTTTCTAACCTCCTATCTATGAAACACTTCCCATTCTGGATTTGCTTTTCCACCTCAGAGCCCTTTATCTGTGTACATTTCTGAAGAACTTCGCTGTTATTTTCTAAAGAACGTTCCTTGTGCTTTCATTTTTAARTGCATAGTGCATGCTTGTTATGCTTAAAATCCTCCCTCGTTTACTACCTCACTTTAACAAACTTATTTATTGCCAAAAGGCACTGCTCTATCCAGAGGAGAGAGGATAACTGTTCAAAAATGTATTAAAAAACCACGAACTTTTGCCCTATGTGACTGAACTGCATATGTCATGTTGGTTTTTTTTTTTATTTTCTCCCTCACACAGTTCTTTTCAAATTAATGGGAAATCTGGCAATCTGAAAACCTGCCTCTAGAAACTTAAACAAAATTTCAAATTGTTTCCTATCTGCAATATTAAAAGTATTAATGTATTCATCCCTAATTTCTGAAAGTATTGAGAAATTCTAGTTGATATTGGAGTAAAAATGTCCCTTTCTAAGAGCACAGTTTGTCCACCTCCAAACTTCACTCCAAATTACAAAATTTAGATGGTGCTGTCCATTCCAGAGTCAGATGTGCTTTTGTTCTTTTCATCCTTCCTTCTGAATTTTTTACAAGGACAGCTGCCACTAAATCATTATATAATAAGGCATAATGAGAAGTGGTTTTATATTTTGTACATAATGTTTATTTGCATACACTGGTGTATCTCAGACCTTGGGATTAGATCTTAATAATTATACTATGATATTTCCTTTTTTGTCCTAGTTCTTCAGTTTGGGTTCACAACCATTTTTGTGGCAGCTTTTCCACTGGCACCACTTCTGGCCTTACTGAACAATATTATTGAAATTCGGCTTGATGCTTACAAATTTGTTACTCAGTGGAGAAGACCTTTAGCCTCAAGAGCCAAAGATATAGGTGAGTTCTCCGTATGGTGTTTGTTATATGTGTGTGTTATTTGCAAAGTAATGCTTTTCAAGAGCAGATAAGGTATTTTCAGTCATCTTCCCAATTAATAATACAACCCTTGATTGTTCAAAAAAACTTCAAGCATCTGGTGCCAATCTGCTTATGCAATTAATAGTGAATGTTGGAAAATGTCCTTTAATGATTTTCTGGGGGACACAACAGCTGAGCTGTAAAGTGCTCAGTGTTCTCCGCAGGTGTTTGGTTGTGGCAGACACACGGTGTGAACACACACTGCTGCTCAACTTGAATAWAATAACCAGACAGACCAGATGAAACATGAGAGTAGAGTCAGAGTGGCCACCATGCTGTAAGGGCCCTGTATGTTTTGTATTTACCTGGCTAAAACCAAGCTCCCGGTGACTCAGGGGCTGTGCCCACAGGTCCCTGGTGGGTCAGACAGGGTGGGTCTGAATCCCAGCAGAAAACTCCTTCCCAGTGAGTCACACTGCATTGCTAAACACAAGGTCCATGTAACTCTGAGGCCATCCAGTCACACATTACTGCAAGGGTTCTCTGAACCTGTTTTGTCTACAAATCTTTTCTGTCCYTGCAGTATGCAAAAACAGAACACCTTTAGTAAGAAATCTCAAACTCTAAAGTCATCTGTCCATTGCTGAATCCCTGGTGTTTTCACAGGGGTGAATAGGACACCTCACTACCCACCTGCTTTGTAAAAATCAGTAGCCCATACCACGAAACAGCAGAAGCTCAGGCTTTGTGCCCTTAGAACAGTCTACCATGGACCTAAAGCCTGTGTCTGATTAAAGCTTTGAATGTGAACATTCAAAGTTTTGAGTGTGAATCTTTGGGTTTTGGCACAAGCCTGGACAGCAGCCAGTACACAGCACACACTGCAGACATAAGTCCTGAAAAAATAAGTGACTCTTGGATAAAGACTATATAAAAACACCTTGTGCAGTGGGGTCAACTACTTCAGATCATGCAGTATTTTAGGCACTTTGGTTCTTGTTTTCCCTGGAACAAACCTGCTCTCCTTCTTGAACAGGAATCTGGTATGGGATCCTGGAAGGCATTGGAATTCTTTCAGTTATCACAAATGCATTTGTTATAGCAGTGACATCAGATTTCATCCCTCGCCTTGTTTATGCTTACAAATATGGACCTTGTGCTGGCCAAGGGGAAGCTGGACAAAAGTAAGTTTTTTCTGGGGTGGAGAAACAGATGTGCATGAAAATCAGCTACTACTTGAATAGATGCAGTAGTTCTGTGTGTGTGTTCTGGTTCCACTAACCCAAATTTTTTATTTGTGTTCAGGTAACAGATATCAGCCATAGGTACTGATGCTCTGCATATCCACARAATGGATTGCTGAGGGACTGTGATTCATGACATTAATTCAAGGCAAACGTGGCAGAGCTGTTTCAGAGATTTAATGTGTATGACAGGATGTTGCCCAAGCTGTACTTCCCAGCTGGTCTACATGGATATAATCCTCTTTTCTTTCTGAAGCAATGCTGATACTAATCAGTTAAGAATTTGTTAAGCGTTTTAAACTTGTACACTGGGGTTTTTTTCCTGATGTAATATTCAGCATGAATTACTCAAGAAAGTAGTGTCTAGCAAGAGGAAGGAATTTCCAAATAGTACATCAAGATACACTTTCAGAGCAAAGTAATTTGTTTTTCTTCTAAAACCAGAGTTCTTAGATGAAATCTTCCAGGAGACACTTATGATCGGAATCCCCACTGCGTAAGTGCATTTTCTTTCAGTGTTGCTAAACACTGAGACTATTAGCATGTGCATACTACCAGAGAGTATGAGATAGTTGCTGCATGGCAACTTGCGAAATTTAGGCTGTTGGACTYGGGGAAGGTCACTGAATCCAATCAAACACAAACAGACACATTTTGCAAATGCTGTAGCAGTGCCATTAGTTGGGAACCCTACTGCTCAAAGAAGCCCAGGCTAAACAGCAGACAGTGACAGAGAGTTTACATTCTGCTATTGGACATATGGCAGATTGATTTTTTTACTCCCTGCTGCCAATGTGAGTTCATCTGTTTCGCTTTTTTGACGTCTATTGACTGTCAATAATTTAATCATACTGACAGAAGAAGGACATCTGGTGTGGCAGCTCCTGATCAGCAGATCTGCCAGCTTGCTGTCCTGCAAGGAGTTCGGCATTTTAGCTGGGGCTAGGGAAGATGTTCTGTTTATTTACTTTGATGAAGAGTTAAAACCCCTTCAGGGATAAAGTGGTCTGGTGCCATTTGTTCTTGAGTATATCGCTCTTCTTGTGCCATTAAAAAGTTCTGCAGGATATGGTGGCACTGTAAACAACACTCCTTGCTAAGGAAAGCAAAAGGAAAGATTTTCTCAGGACCACTCTGCATGAGAAAACAACACCTTTAGAAATATTTCTCTTTTAAGACTCAAATATGACTCAGTGKCTTTGAAACTAGTTCTGCATAGGGGAAGTAGTTTGGCTGACAGAGGAGGATCTGCTTTTCACAAGCCTTTTGTACAATGTTTTCACACTTTTGCTGCTTTTTTGAGTGAATTTCTAGATGAAACCATCAGGTAGTTATCCTTTGAAAGAGCTAACTTGTATTAAAACTGTTTATGTCAGCGTTCTGAATAATGTTATTAGTAAATACTGTTACAAAAGCAGGAAGTATTAAAAAATCCCCAGGAATAGTGAATTTTCTCAAATTAAAGAGTGAAGACCATCTGTTATTGAATAGCTCAAATGAGAGAGGTACTCTTTTCTTTCAGAAAACACCTGTAGGTATTAGATCCATTTGACACACAGTGATACTAGAAAGACACTGTAATTAAATTAAGTTCCAAATCCAGTCAGTATGGAGACAAAGACAGATGGTGTTTGAATATAATTTCTCAAAGACTGTAAAGTCCATATTTAGAAAAACCCAAACCAAAACAAAAATCCCCCAACCCTTCCTGTGCATTATACTCTGCACCAAGCTGYGCAGTGTGCCTATATTTACCTGTGCTCGGGCAGTGCAGCATGAACAGCACAGTACATTTTAGCCATATCTCTCCTCAGCTTTACCAACAGCAAACTTGAGCCTTCTAGAGACATCCACAGCCCTTTGCCACGGAACACAACTTCTCCTACTCAGTGCTCTTTAAACTCTGCCTGGCCCTCACAGTGATCAGTCATCCTAAGATCTTCTATTATGGCGTTCCTCTGATTAACTGGACATTTTCTAAAAAGCTGTTTTAGGTGTTTCTATCTGATTTAGTCTCCCTTTGTGCTAGCACCATGAGTGTAACTGAAGAATATTTTGATTATCTTCCTAACGCTCCTCATTATTTTCTCTGCCCCTATTGTGTCTTYTAGGAGACTTTTCAAAAGTTACCAGTCCCAATCTTCACCATTTCTTCTCCCACAGAAATCTACCACTGCTTCACTTTCATTGTTSATCTGACCTACTTCAGCATCTCCTTTATATTGCCTCAAAGTCCCCTTCAGATATTAATAAGCATCCCAATTGTATTTTGGATTTTATGAAACCCAAAGAACATCCTCCTGGGTGCAACAGTTAATGGGAAAGCCTGTGTCCTGATGGCAGCATTTTGTCCCCTCTAGGTGTATGGTTGGCTATGTTAATGCCAGTTTATCAGTATTCCTGGTGTCTGACTTTGAAAACCGTTCAGAGCCAACATCAAATGGAAGTGAATTCTCTGGCTCACCATTAAAATATTGCAGGTAAGTTTCTGATCAACATACTCCTCTGCTTTAAGACAGTGAAACGGAGAAGCATCATAATAAATCTGGAGTTGAAACTGATTTTTAGAACTTAAAAATGGGAAGTTTTGGCTGTGCTTTTTAGGGACATGCTTGTCTTGGTACTGCTAAGCTGTTGCCTGCATGACTCCTCCCTCAGACAAAAGAGAAGTGGTAAAGTTGGTATCTGGAGGCGTTCCTAATGCAAGATTTTTATGGTGTCATAGCTTGACCCAGATACAATCATCATGGATAAATATGGCATCAAGGGGCCAATAATAGGTGCCTGATTACTTAGGTACCAGTGAGATCCAATTGAGATGAGATTATATCACAGGACATGCACAGGGAAGTCAAGGTTGCACAGGAGCAGCCACGCTGAGTTACTCCACAGGTCTGACAGACATACACAGGGTCTGTCATTATCTATCTTTACAAAACCTCAAAGCCAGCATTTCCTAATTGTTGAATTGTTAATATGTTCATTTTGTTGCTTACAGGTGTAATTATTAGTAATAATCTTATATTTGTGGTTTGAATCAAAGTAAAATGAGCAATTAATTATCTGCATGTCTTTGTCCTCAGCAACAGATTGGAGAAATAGCAGTCTGAGAAAAGTCTGTAATGACAGATTTGCACCTGAGTGATTTTAATGGCCAGAACCCTCAAGGATTAACATAAAGGTCTTAAAAGGTGTCCCAACCAAAAATACCAAACRAATACAGCTACCACTTTTTAATCACAATATTACATTGCAAACATGAGTCCTGGTAGTCCTTTAGCAGATACACTTAGTTTCAGTATTTTTCACTGAAATACCCTTTCATGAATGCCTAAAGAACAAAAGAAACTCCGTGATACCACAAAGGTCTGTGATACAGCAAAAGTCAGTGATACTTGCAATATTGTGGCATTTTTATGAATAAGAAGGATTTTGAGTGGTATAGCACAATAAATGGGGGGAGGGCGTGGCATTACTGTTTTCATTTAACTAACTGATATTTAAGATTGTTGCAAATTATTTGGGAGAAAGAGTATTCCARTGTTGAATTCACCTGTGGAACAGAACCGGTGAGAATATTCTTTGTTTGCTAAAGCATTATTTAATAAGGTTTTGTCATTCTAACAATTCTCTTCTCCCTCTTTAATTCCTTTCTTCACCATCTTCTGGTATGAAGTTGCTGCTCCTTAAAGCTGATGATGGAAATCACATAATAAAAAAACAAAATTGTCTGCTCAATATCCCATAAACAGAACACTATTAAAATTGGTGTGATAAATCTCCAAAAGATATATCTGTTCTTTTGGGACACACTGAATTGTTATGTATATCTATCCTTGAAAGAAAATTAACATCTTTCTTTAGCTGAGTTTATCACCTATTTACCCACCCGCATTCTGCTAAAACATCAGTCATTTTAATTGCACTTCAAGGCAGACATTGATAGGGAGGTAAGGAAATATTATGTTCTACTGTGTAACAGTGTAGGCATTTTTCCAGGAAGGCAGTTTGTCTGAAAAAAAAAAAAAAACAAAACAGTTAACTTCTTGTTGCCTGGAACAAATAAGATGCTGTGCTATTCTGGTTGTTTATAGAAGTTTTCCCAATTTTTTTCGAGCGTAACATTGGATTCCTAACAAGTAAAAAAAGTGAGACATACTCTACTGGGACTTTATCCAGAGACTTCTGGTTTTGGGATGCTTAAGATATTGTAAAACATCCTTAACTGTGAAGTCAGAGTGCTGCTTGGATAAGGAAAGATCATCTTAGTTTTAAGAACTTGCACTGGAGATACTGCAATTTCTGAGAGATTTGATGCTGACTAAGATGTCAAGAGAGTTTATTTCAGTTTGTAATCTTTGTAATCTAAGAAGGTGAAGTTTSATGGAGAAATACAGATTATCATAATCTGTCTTATTTTAATTGTTCTAATATTTTAATAATTTTATCATTAAATGACTTTTCTTTTATTCATCTGCACTTTCATTATTTTCTTAAAACTAACTTAGTGATCAAGCTTGACTGTATTATTTACTATGGTATTTTCAATATTTTTTTACAATGGGTTCTTTGTTCCATCTATGAAACAGAATGAGAAACAAACAATTTTTACCCTTCTTTTAAATTAAGTTTCCGTGSTATTATTTTAGAATTAACAAACTGCTAGTAAAAATGGACTCTAGAATGTGTGMCTTAAAACAGATTCATGGTTTGTAATTATAAGTACATTTGGAGTGTACTTATATACTCCAATATACATTTTGGAGTATTCCTGGATCCAGCTTTCCCGATAGCTATCTACAGTTAAATTATGGAGACCTAAAGTCTTCTAAGAAGCACTCAGTGAGAAAAAACACTCGATCCCTGTTCTCAGTTGATACACCAAGAGATGCAGTGCTGGCTCCGCTKAAGTCAGGACAAGTCATGCTTTGCAGCAGGGATGGCCAGCGAATTGGCCAAGGGCTGGCTGKAGTCCATGAGGCAGTTTTATATGCATTTTGGAAGAACTATCAGGCTGACAAAACTGGGGAGATTTTTGGGTTTAAAATGTCCTTGCAGTGGGAATAGTGTYCCTTAAAAGGGCAGAGCCTCCCTCCCTTCTCCAAGCTCTGAGGGGATGCCTGCAAGGCGCATATTGTGCTGCCAAGGAAGATGTTGTATGGTCAAAGTACCCACCATCCTGTGTATTTTCTTCAGCCGTTTTCTTCATACAAAYATGGGTTTGGGTCCTTTGTACCCACTTCCCATGAGCAGCTACAGCACTCCTGGAGTGCATCTTACTGGTAGGTTTTAGCYGAAAGTGAGTCCATTTGGATGAAGAAAAGCGTGGTAAGTGGAGGTAACCAGGACAGCTGCTTCAAAAGCATGCACCTGACCTGAGATAAAACACTGGCACAGGCCCAGCCTTGGAAGCAAGCAGTATTATGGTAACCTGCACGCTTTAAACTGAGCTCATTTTTGGTGCAGAAGATGCAGTTATCAGTAGAAGGTGGGTTTTGGTTTTTCCTTTTTGCAGGAGCTTGCTAACTACCATGCTATGCTTGTCTTTCAGGTACAGGGACTATCGAGACCCTCCCCACGCCCCGGTGCCCTAYGGTTACACGCTGCAGTTCTGGCACGTCTTAGCGGCACGCTTGGCTTTCATTATTGTGTTTGAGGTCAGTGACCATTCAGGTGGCACAACAAAACCAAAAAGGAAACAAATTGCTCTCTGAAGCTTTGCATTGGGCTGATCTATGATGGCAGCTGTTGAGTTTCTTTATCTTAGTTTCTGCTACTTTTATCATGCTTTGTATTCACAGATGTGGTTTCTGAAGGGTCACAGGTATTTAGGTTCTCATAGAAAAGGGAATGTAACACTGAATAAATAATACAGCAGTGACTTGCAAGGAGGGGAAAACAAATGAAGATTTGTTTACTTTTGAGTAACTTGTCTAGGTTGGGAAGCCATATTCTGACTGGTTTATGGGGAAAAGGGTGAAGGAATATGAGAAGGATTAAATCTGAGCGACTGAAAACCAGCAATAGTTAAAGTTACAGTATTTACACACTGTCTTTTTTCCTTACAACAATGAGAAGGATTTAATATCTTTGTCTGTATTCATAAATTTAGTACTTACTGTCAGTATCTCAGACGTCATTAAGACAAACCAGAGGAGGTAATACCAACTTCACACGACTGGTATTCCCAAAATGATTTTGAAAAAGAGAGCCAGGAGGTTAGACAAATAGGGTGAGATAATTTAGRAAAAAAAAAAAAATAGAGCTCTTAAGGCCCAATTTCAAGTGGTTGAATATCCCCACCAGAATCCAGGGATCTCTCCAGCACAAGCAGTTTGAAATGCCTTTTCCACTGTAAAAAAGCCAGACGGGGAATATATGATTTTAAAAAACTCTTTACTCAATCCTCTGCTCAGAAATCATAGCAACAGGGCATTCAACACAGATATAGAAACTGTAATGACCATATTGTCATATGCCTTAATGTTCATGAGCAGGTACTGCATTTCTGAGTCACAGGACTGTGTAAATTCATCCTGAACTGAGCTTTCTCTTTGGATAACACAACAGAAGCCTTTGTGCTAGAGGAAAAACAGAGAAGAAACATTTTCTAGATTATTTCTTGAAGAAGGGTGTCTTGGTGGCTCAAGACTACAACTTCAGCAAATTCCATGTGAATTTTCAGACTTTTCCAGGTGAAGGAATACGGCCTTATTTGAACCCACCTGCTCATAACTTCTGCTGTGACCCATATTCCATGACTTCAGCTGGAATTTCTGTGGGGGAAAAAATGTCATGGTTTGTTTTATTCAAATTTAGTAATGGCTTTCAYTTTAACATAGCATCTATGTCTGTAAATTGGAGAGAAGGTTTTCAGAAGATATRAAAAATACTTTCCTTCCTAAGGTTTTAAATTTTTTATTCCTTTTTTTTGTGTTCACAGCACCTTGTCTTTTGCATAAAGCATCTGATCTCCTACTTAATTCCAGATCTTCCAAAAGATCTGAGAGATCGAATGAGGAGAGAAAAGTACCTTATTCAGGAAATGATGTATGAAGCTGAACTAGAACGTCTGCAAAAAGAGCGGAAGGAAAGGAAAAAGAATGGAAAATCTTATCACAATGAGTGGCCATGATAGGGTGAGGAAGAAACTGCTTAAAAGAAGATAAGAACTCCTGTTTATAAAAAATTCCTGGTTTTCTACAGCAGAGAGTGCACTGAAAGGAATAGTCAATAATGTTATGTGCGCTTAGCACATGTGCACCCCTSTTCAATAGGGCAGATTTTGTCATAAGCCTTTTGAAATTAGAGGTCTTTCCAAGGCTGRGTCTTTTCCAGAGCTGATGTCAACACAAGCACATCAGACCAACACTGAGTCTCTGCACTCTTGCCAGGAAGCTCCAGGCCCTGACTCAAACTCGAGGCCCTGAACTTCAAAGCAGTTACACAACTGACAGTGCTTTCCAGAACCTGGTGATCTTACAGCTCATTCTCATGAAGCTGCTCCTTCGTAAGCAGTGCCTGTGCCTCGGCAGCGTGGCACTGTTTGTCCATGTGTGTGGCCACCACCTGCAGCACATGCATGGCAGCGCTGCTCTCTTCCACAGTGGATCCAGCTGTGTTAGTTTGCTTTTGCCACCAGTTAAGGTCACGTATGGGGACTGTTTCCATTACTCAACAATACTGAAGTATTATTTAGGAGGAGATGCATGACCATGAGTCTGATCAACTGGTCTAACAATGCTGAAATATGTAGGCTAACAGATAGCCAAGCCTCTAATGTGGCCAGAGGTATCTAACTGTAGGGTCGTTTATTTGGAAATGACACTGTGAAAAGTTGGTAATGCAGGTTAAAGATTTGAACAGTGCCTTTTCAGCTATGGGACTGTCTGGTGTCTGAAGGAATCAAATCAGGTTAGGCATCTTGCCCAGAACTGCCTGTGTATTTGTTTTGCAAGATCATGTTGAACCCTAGTCAGGAATTGGGGTGTACTTACATAACAGAAGTCAGATGGTATCTTAAAGACCTATCTGTCAAAGTAAAACCAAAAAAAAAAAAAAAAGAGATGAACAAGGTCAGCAGAGTAAAACACCATCAACCTAACATCTACACTTGTAGCACTTTCTTTTTTCATTTTTTTCATTATCTGTAATGGGATGGAGGGGAAAAATAAAAGAACAGACTGTAGTATGTAATAGTTTGAAATCCTTAATGGAGAGCAATTCTACACAGCCTGCAAATWAGATTTGGGCAAAATAAGCCACTGTCAATATCCTTTAACAAATTCCTTAGTACTAGAAAAAATTCATGTTTAATGAAGAAATTAAAAATTTCCAGACTATTAACCCAAAAGGGTGGAGTCATAATTTTAAAGACTTCATAAGTGGTGGATGGAGTGACATGAATGAAAATACTGAATGTTGTGAAATCTCTTCCAGCAGCTGTTTCTAAAAGTTATTGTGGAAATAATTTTATAGAAGGAGTAGAATTTGCTCTTCTGGACAGACCACACAATGCAAGACCCTATGGATGGACACCTCAAGTTCCACATGACAACAGAACCACCTGCACCAAGACCAATATCACCAAATTAGATACATTAACTTCTTTCCACTGCAAGGGAGAACTGCGCTATTTGCATAATGGGGGGGAGCTTTAACGAAGGGTAATATGAAGGAAGAAGAGGGATGGAAGAAAGTGTGAGCATCCTCCTCTCTGTGGCCACTGCCTGCCTACGCTTTGCTTCCTCGCAGCCAGGAACCTCCTCCAGTGGCAGYCCACCATCCAACCTGAACAGGATAAATGACACAGCAGCTCCCTTTTATCAGCTGCTCCCGGCCTAAGCCTGGAAGTCCCATAAGCACTGAAGAATCTGTTCCGTGTTGTGGGATAAATTCCTGACTAATGGGGAACTGAACTTGTTCATCTTTGCTTCAGCTTACAGCAGCTCTGAACATGTCCCACATGCACAGTGGGGAAATAGGAGTATTTCTGTCTCTGTAAATAGGGGCTGGGGATTAGGCAATGCTGACCTGCAATACGCACATGCCAGATGGGTTAGTGTTTATCCACCACCTACAGTTGCAAATCTGYAGATTTCAGGGGCAGGGTCACTGTGCAAAATCATATTCAGACCAAATTCTCATGAATAATTGGATTTGTCTGGATACCCTCTGTTTAATGTCTAAACCAGATGACCAGAGTCTAGAAACTGTTTGCTGAGTAGTAAAGTGAGACRTGAGCTATGAATAAAATCAGTGTCACCCATATGAGCAAAATGGACCTTTGCAAATTCCTTTGCAAAAGCAGTAAGATACAGCTTTGTCAACTTAGATCTCAATAGCTTCCAAGAATTGAACTGAAAGAATAGAATATGAACTGACTTCCACTCCAGGGAAACCACTGCAATGAAATGTGCCAAAACAAATAGTGCACAGCAGAAATGCAATAGGTAATAATTGCTTTTGAGAGTAGTTTTCAAGATACCTACATTATGATGAATTTTCCTGACAATACATTGCTAGAAGTTGTGTCCCAGTCTCCTCTAAATGACACCATATGTTGGCTGCTTGCCAAGCTTATGCTGAGTTTGATCCTGCAAGGGGCTCTGACCTCCCTGGCAGACCCTGAGTACATTTCTGTCACTTCAGTCTGACCAGTCAGTCTGTCGAGGTTTCTCTGCTGCTGGTCTGATAAATAGATTTCCCTGGAGCTGTAYGGCAGAACACTCAGAAAAGATGCCCCCTTTTTATTTAATAGAAAAATTAAATACAAATAATAGTATAATATTAATAAATGGAATTTTAAGTGTCTCTAGAGAGCTAATTTATGCCGTTCTCTTCCTGATCTGATGATGGGTTTTGTTTAAACCTCCAGGTGACAGTCCTTACATTGTTTACTTATTCCAGTTCCACAAGAGCACTACCTTCATGGGAATGAGAAAAAAATGCAACTTCAATGCATGGCACAGACATTTTCCACAGCAAGCAGGACAGCACACATCAGAGGATTTATTGTGAAATCATCTTGCAATCAGCATAGGGCCACTCTTGACRGCAGCATGTACTTCATGAGCAGTTACAAGTCAGTTTTTAAACCAAGAAAAATAAATTGTATATTGGGACTGTTTTCCAGCCCGTTTGCTAAGTTTTTTGCATTCTGTTCCATGCTGGTTTTACAGATCTTAGAACAAGAAATATAAATGAACATCCAGGATACTCTGACAAAAGAAAAATCTAGGAATAGATTGTCATCTACATTCAAGCCACCAAATACTCGACAGAAACCGTGTTTACAAATCAGTTCTTTTATTATTTTAAATCTTTCTGAAGGGAGTTACATTATTTACCATATATATTATATATATATATATATATATATAAAGTATATTGAGAGATTGTTTATTTGTAAATAGAAAAATTCTATGGAGAAGAATGTCAAGTTTTCACACTTAAAAAAATCATCAACATAAAGCCATGTTTAATGCTTGTATAATGTGATATAACAAACTTTAAAAATAAATTATGCATATGAAATATTTACTGCTTGTCATTCACRAGTCTCTTCCTGTTTACCTTATTTGTTCCACAAGCAAACTCACCAGTCAGATGGAAGCAAAACTTAAATGCAGACCAAAAAGAGCCAAAATCTATTACTATTTTCTCTCTGTGGTTCTTTTGTGTATTCACATAGTCAAACATTGTTACTGTTGTAGTTTTAGGGTTAGGATTTTTTAATGTTTTTACTTAAATAGGTTCCTAATTGTTTTATCTCCTGATTCTGCCAGATGCTGCACATAATTTAGACACTGTGGAGTGCTCCCACTCCTGTGAAATCAATCAGTTTTGAGCATCCCACATTTCTTTGTCAGGTGAGTTTTTAGCTGGAAGAGATGAAGGATCAGGGTGGAGGAGYATGGTGGAGACTCCAAGATTTATCTTGCTGCTTTTACTGACAAGGACAGCCCTGGCTTGGAGTCCAGGTAGCAGAGGACAATGTATGTTCTCAGAGAAAATATTATTCAAAATTAATGAATTGTTTTAATTAATGATGCCAATTCAAAGAAGAAGAATATAGAAAAAAAAAAATGGAGCCAAAATAGTCACTTTTTAGCTCTGTAGCAGTCATGGGAGGTTAARTAGCAAGAAATGGGGTAGTTGCAGAGCTCACCTGCAAAGTATACAGATGTTTGTCTCTAAACCACTTACAGCAAGATATACTTCCCAGTGAAAACTCATCTTGATGTTATGATTGTGGACCAATAGATATCACCAAGCCCAAACTTTCACTTCATAGCAAAATTCAAGTTAAATGACTGCTCAGTGCTTAAATAGTGATTTCACCAATAAAAGGGGAGGTAAGATGGTAATTGACGTGTTTCCTCTGTTTAAAACAACTATGTGAATTTAAAGCACTGAGAAGAAAACTCCACATTTTTAAAGTATGATAACCAGGAAGATTACTCTTCATTAACAACACAGGAGAAGTCACAGATGATCTAACACAGTCCAAGGCAGCATCAAATACTAATTGCAGCACAGAGAGGTGCAGAAAAGTGCTGATCATATTTCACACAGCAGTGACAGTCATCCTCTGCTTAAACACATTCAGATGGGAAATCAGCCTTTGTACTGAGAAGGCTGTAGCTATATCAGCAGGCACACACAGATCAAGTGCTTATGGTAGGCTTCTGCTCTCTGTTACAGCTTACTCTCTCTGAGCACAGGTATAGAGGCACACCACTTCAGCACTCTGCAGCAGCATGGACATAGCAGTACTTATCCTCTTTCAGATCTATGGGCTGAAAGTACCTGGTAAGTACAAATTATTATRTTCCAAGGCTCAAGAACTGTTCCATAGCACAGAATGCAGTACCTGTTTCTGGGTCATGAAGACAAGGCACAAGTCTGAATGATCTGCAGTTATCTTCTGAGATTTGAGAAGCATAACAGGCTGGTTCAGTCAATGGGCTAATTGTCTCAGAGTAACTAGGATAGTCCCAAAACAGAGTTAACCTGTCCTGAATCCTGAGATGCTTTTGTTTGTTTCAGATCTTAGATATAGGGACACAAGACATAACTCACAGGATGTACCCTGCTAGATCATAGCACTTCCACACAGTGGCTTTAGGCACTGACCCAGAGCTGCAGCAGTGTGAGAAAAGGGGCTAAACTCTGCACTGGATCATGCAGACCACGATTTGGGAGGCAAAGGGGAAACCTGCCTCCATCACATAATTTTGTGATGGGTTAGCCAATGGAGTCACAGCCTTGGTGGCACCCTTGCAGYGTCTGGCTGGCCTGCTCTCCTGGTCTGGTCCTTGGAGCCCATTTTTTCACTGTCATTTTCTGATCCTGACAGTTCATCTTATGCAGTAGATCATCAAATGCCCTCTGCCACAAGGGGTCAGAAAAAAATTGATTTYRATGCTCCAGTCAAGGTAGACAAGCYAKYACTGTGTCATATTCCARGTCACAGCAGCTCYGTACTTGGCACAAAAGCAGCATAACTTTTAGAAAGTATGTAAGACATGGAGTCAGTYTTTCACTTGATTCCCAAGCATGATTGCTTTCYAAGCTTCAAAGCTCAGCTTTTCTGCAATGGCTTTAATTTTCCAGCTTGATTCTACTGCTGTAGAAGAGCTTTACACACTCTTGTATAGCCATAGCAAAAGCCTGAAGCACAAAACAACACAATGGGTCAGAGTCTGTTCCCTGCTGTATCAGAAAGCAAGCAGRAGAAAGCAATGGGGGTTTTCACCCTTCCAAAACACAACATGTGCATGGTCTCGAGTGCATAGGCTGTTAACCTTCTCTTGGCAGCCGCACCAGAGGATGATAAGCCATTCTATGCTCTGCAGCCCTGGACAAGCCTTCACCATACGACATCCTCTGTGATCCCTTCTCCACCCTGAGAATTGTGCGGGGGGTTCTGCCTGCCTGCCAAAACACAGTGTGCTCTTGCCTGATCTGAACCAACCTAGAACATGAATCCCCAGGGTGACAGCAAGGACTGCATGAACACAAAGGGCTTAGAAGGTTTCAGCTCACAGCCCTGGAGAGAATCACTGTAGCAACTGCAGATGCAGCCTTCCCTCTTTTCCAGTACAGCCAAAAGGGCCTCTTCTTCATTAACATCTCCCCTGCACTATGCCCAACCCAGTGCAAGAACAATCCTAAGCCAGCAAACCGGGCATGAAGCAGAATGCTACTGCGGTTCTGCTCTATGGCATTGAATAAAACAAGTAAATAGCCAATTTCCTTCATGAGAACCAGCTCTGTAAGGGCAAGATGGGGGAGAAGAGGGAGATAGGGCACGAAAGGCATGAGTACTGCCTCTACCCACCAACAAAGTCACTTTTGCAGCCTCCAGCAGTGAGCATAGAGGCTGTAGCAGGTAGCCAAGAAACAAGTGGCTTAATCAAAATATTGATGACAAAAGCAGGAAAATAAATAGGCTCCCAGAATCAGTTCTACAGAGGAACAAGATAGCACTAAATATACTTTACATACAAAAAAAAAAAAAAGACCCAYTTTTTCTTGTAATCTGATAAGGTCCCACACCCTAATCACTTCATACTTTCAATGCCTTGAAAGAAAAAAAAATAACAAGCCAGAAAAACACCCATGTCTGGGTGAACAGTACTCTTCCCAAATAAAAAATTCAGTCTGAGKGTGAAATGAKATTAAAMRTAGATATYTWCCACGAGGCTGAAGAAYATCAGGCAAAYATTTCACAYAGAAACATTGCCTTAGGCCCTGTCACCAAGAACCAGAGCGAGAGAGTGAGGAAGTGCAAGAAAAACCTGATTCCTTTCTTGACTAATGTCAAGGTCATGCAAAAGCAATACTGAGACAAAGCTCAGCAGATGCCTGCCCATGACCCCAGAAGAGCTGGTAACAGACCCAGAACAGGAATGTCAACAGTGCTTTACATGAACAACAGTGTCCTTGTGTGCTGACATGGCCTTGTGTCATATATGAAGACCATTGACTCTGTTCTTATCACTTGCAACATCCAATTCAATGTGGCTGAAGGCAGGGTTGTCAGTTCCTTCTTCTGCCATGGTAAATGGTTTCCAGTTCAACACTTCCACTTTCTCCGGCTGAAAAACAAAAGAAACAAAAAGCCATGTTGTGAATCWGAAGGAAGAGTCTTCCTCTCTTTGACCTACATGCCATGGGCATGACATAGAGGGYGCCTTGCAGGAAAACACACATGGGTTGCTGACAGAGCACAAATGCTTACTCGTGGCAGTAGATGGTATTTTTCTAAGGGCATGGAAAGTTTTTTATTGCACAAGGTACTAATTGTTTAAAATGTTCTTGTCACATAAAATGTTCTTGTCCTGCATATTGTCTAAAGTGGTTTTGGGAGTGCAAAGTTCTAATTGCTGTTTTCATGTCTAGTGATATGTCACCACCAGGTCTTTGAGCTATTGACTCCCAACCCTTCCTCCTTGCCCCATCTTTGACAGGAAGAGCAGATTAACATGCATCATTGCTTTGATGTTGCATTTCTGTTAAATATAATGAAATGTTGAGCTGTTCATGTGCAGGAAGTTGCTTAGTTTGCCCTGATTTTTTTATCTCATCAACTTCCTGCATTATTTGTGATGCCAACCACTTGTTAGTCAGCTCTTAGCCATGTAAGAGACAGATACTTGTTTCTGACTCCAGGCRTAAAATAAGTGTGGCTGGGGACTTTCGCTTCCATGTGGGTGGTGGATTGGGTTGTTTGTTTTTTTTCAAAAGACTTCAGAGATAAAAACCCCAGACARTAGAAACAGATGTTGACCCATTAAAGACAGTGAATGACAGTAACTAGACAGTTGATCTCCAGTACTGACATGGGCAAATAGCATTACAACAGTACAGTAAAATATCCCTTTCTTTCACTGGTGTCTTTATCCAGAACTGGATCATACTAGGATCATACTAGAATACATAGGATCATACTAGAATGAGTTGTCACTATAGAGAAAAAACATTTTTCAAGCTGGGCCATCTTAAAGGTATTATTATTGTCTGTACTGCATCACTTGAAAAGCACTGAACAAAACTGAGCTTGAATCTAGTTAAGCTGATGATATTGATTGAAAAATGATCTGTAGTTTATTCTTAAAAAAAAAATATTTCCCCTGGATTCTCCCTTCTAAGGGATGGTATTGCCCAGTAATGTTTGCCCTTTTTTTACACAGGGTAGGAGCTAGGAAACAGATACACTGACTAGAGATGTTTTCTCTCAAACAGTAGCCAAAGTTACAAACAAATTCAGACCTTAGAGAACACATGYTCACGAAGGAAGCTTTCCTGTGTCCAAATTGTGCCTTGTGGCATCTTCCCAGAGGCCAGTTATAGAGTATTTCAGCAAAAACATGGAGAAAACTGTCCCTTTTCTCAGTTCCTGCTCTGCTGTTAACTGAAGTCAAGCTGTGGCAAAACACAGGTTCCTTGCTTATGGCAGGTCCCACCTGCCTTGTGCTCTGCTACTGCCTTAAAGCAGATACTCATATCAGGCAGCATCAGGTTCTATTCATCCTGACTGGAAAAAAGTAAGCCAGGGGCTGTTTGCTTTTGTTCCCAGGAGGAAAGATTGATTTAAATCAGAGATKCACAATTACACTTACTTTCTCAGTTTCAGACCGTGAGAAGTTGGACAGGAAATCTTCCTTGGTCAGCAGGAATTTACGATCCGTGTTCTGCTTCAGTCCTCCTACAAAACAGGCAGGTTTCAGTCAGCCAGCTTTGCACATGCAAACCATCCCCAGCTATGGGCACAAAGCCAGGCAAGCAGGACAGAGTCATGCAGCAAAAGCCTTCATACAATCACAGATCYTAGGGATCATTTCTTTACAAAGATGTAAACCTTGCAACTCTCAAGGTATCAAATGATCCTTCAAAGTCTAGTTGAAATCCCTTAGCTTTTTCCCAGTTTCCTAGACCCTCTTCAGATTTCCGGTTTTGGAAAAAAAACTGAATCTGACAATCACCAGAAAACAATGAATCCCATACAATGATGTCTGGGACTACTCTGGCAAGAGATGTGGCACCAAGTCCTACCCTGAACCCTGCACTCAACTCTCAGCTCCTTGTCAGCAAGACTCCTGTTTCCAAAACTCACCAGCAATTTTTAAAGTTAATTACTTAAGGGCAGCCCCAAAACAGAGGGATAAGGCTTAATGGAATGTTTGGGCATTTTTAAGGAATGGAATATTAGCTGTTCTTGTGAGGGAAACAAAGGAGATGTGGGTGCTGGGAATTAGCTCTGATTGCCACCTGAGGCTCGAGTGGGATCTTGCTCCRCAGGAAGCACAGTAGCATTGTGGGTGGAGTAATTCTTCTGTTTCTTGAGCTGAGATTTCTCATCCGGATTTAGTGAGTTGTCTGGATTTCACACTTTGTTTCATGGCTTGTAGGTAACCTCATCCCTAGCTGGTAAAAAGCAAAATTTGGCTACAAGCATCACTATAGCAAGGGGAAGAGCATGTGCTTGGAAGAAAGTGGGGAGCAAATCTTCTAAAAATTGAAAAGGAAAAAAAGGTAGAAATATAACTTGTGCTTATTAGTTGAAAGGCATAAGGAATTTAATGGAAGCGAGTTTGTCTACTGAGTTTGGAGTTTCAYAGTCCTGGAGCAGCTGTGGATGAGTCTAAAAATTTGAAAATTAACAGCCTCCAAGATGAGAGCTGTTATATGAATCTGGCTGGGGATACTGGGTAAAGCTGTGAGAACAGCTGCTTTTTTGGTGTTTCTGCCATGCATGAGGTGAATGACAAGTGTACTTTGCATCTGACCTGGATGCAAAAGCAGTAAGGCCATGGGCTGGAACTGAACTCCCTGCTCTTACCCATGGCATGCTGCTTTTTCCCTTTGCACAAAAGCCCTGGGAAACTTAGAAAGAAGCTAAAAAGCCATGCASAAGATCTGCAGCTCTTAGGCTTGTTTCTTGAAGAATGTGGTGAAAAGCATGCACTCTACGGATGCAGGCAACAGCCCTTGAGTGTTCTGAACTCACTCAAAGTAAAACTGCTTTTATCCTTAGAAGCATGGGTGTATATCGTTGCTTGGAGCTGTTGCCATGTTCAGGGACAACTCTTAAAACTCCAGCCCCTGCAGGCATCTAATTATAAAGGAAAGACAGATACTTCTTTTTTTTTYYTTTTTTTTTGCCCCTTGGGTATAAAAACATGTTGAAACTTCTTTCTCGTTAGAAACTCGTAGTACCTTTTGCTATGAGCAAAGACCAGGAGTGGAATGCAGCTGGGATGAGGGAAGGAAATTAGATTTAGGGTGGTAACCTTTATACAGTGTCTGCAATAGGTCACTGGAACTTCCTGTGGCAGCAACAGCTCTCAGGACATCTTAGTTTGAAAGAAATCTAAGACACATTCAATCACAACTCTGGAACTAGTACCTGTTAGGAGGCTGATAATTATTCCCACAACTATTGTGATAAGTGTCCCAAGTGTGCTGAAGTAGAGATAAGACAAGGAATACCAGTTGTCTGCCAGGGCAGGTCTGAAATAAAGCAGAAAAAGTGTTAATCTCTCCTTTCCTCTTCCAAACAACTTGAAAATGTCTGTTTCCATACAGTGTATAAATACGGAGATTATCGGTGACCTGGTTATCTTGAGCTACCTCCTTAAAATAATATGTGCATTGAAAATTTGTTCCAAAATTTGCAGAACAAGTTCCTTTGCAAGAGATGAGGCTAGTCAGCACAGTGAAGCAATGCAGGAGACAGAGCAGGTCAAACAGGATAGTCCTGTCTCTGCTGTGAATCTAGTGCACAGCGGAACACCCCAGTTATCCGGGGGAAGGGATAATTTCTTTAGCAAGGGTGATATTATTTAAAGGAAGGGACACGAAAAAAACCAACAAGGAAATTAACCCCATGCAGCTCTGAACGGCCAGAAACAATAGAGCAATTGTCTTTACACCTTATTTTGTTCTCCCTCCCATTGCTCTGTTGCAAGAGGTGCTTTCCCACAGCCAGGAGCAGTGCTGGAGGGCTCATGCAAGAGGTGTGGTATATGAAACTGGATACTGGGCACCCAGGWGTGTGTCAGGGTATCTCTTGATTGTACAATGCTCTGAGGTGTAAGGATCCGGAAACCCTAGAAAACTGTTTTTTCTGCTTACTTCTGTTCCTGCTGTTCCCTATACTGTCACTCGTAACTGTTAAACTTCATTGTAATCATCCAGAGTAAGACATTTAGCATTTGCAGAGTGGAGGAAATCCCTTATATTGTGCCCATTCTGAATATACTGAATAGAACTATTCTGCACAGATAAGTTGCTAACTGGCATTTTGCCCTTTAACTGCCTATTACTTTAATTCATGTGACAGATTGTGGAAGTTAATCCAATAATTATAAATTATATCTTTGTTTAAAACTGTGGTCTTCAATAAAGCATATTCAAGCCTTTGGAATCAAATATTGAACTGAAGCTTTTCAGTTTAATAGAAAGATTCACTTTGACTTGTGCTGTGGGGTAACTCAGTCAAACTTTACTCTGTTAGGGGGAAAAAATTTGAGAAAACTGCTGCATCTTAAACAGCATGATAGGTAAACCAGAGAAAGATAGTTGTAGTAACACAGATGTTCTGCAGATGTTCGTGTGCTTTGTTGACTGCACTTGATGAACTCATATACCTCTCTGTACCCGGTGTGCTGAAAACTGTTGTTAATGGAATTTCTGTTGATGTTAAATTTCCTGAGGATATATTACAGCCTGCAGTCGAGAGATATAGTGGCTTGGTCCTCTCTGGAAGTGGAGGATAAATCTGAGATCCAATTCCAACCCAAAGTGAAATAACAAAGCCACTGAGAAGACCCACAAATGCACCCTGCAAAACAAAAAGTGAAACTTGATTAACATGAAARGGAAAATATATTTGAAAGAAATGACAACTAGAAGAGTAAGAAACAGTCAAGATAATTTAAACTGTAGTCTCCACAGKAAAAATGGGAAGCTGGGGAAGAGCTGGAGACTTTACTTCATTCCTGCTTTGGGAAATACAGTGTTTCCTCAGAGGTCCTGAATATGCCTCCTTTTATTTGGCCACAAGATCTTTACAATCAAAGGACAAGTTTGGCCTGCATGGTACATGGGAAAATCCTGCTTCATTTGAGGCCCTTCTTGAACAAATACAGAGGCAACTTTTCCATTTTCTCATGTGACCTGTTTTAGCAAAAAGTCTCTCCTGCATCAGGGGTAGGTGGGGATTTGGCTGACAGCTAGTAATTTAAATTTTAGGTTTTTTTTACTTTAGTATAGATAGAAAATTTGCAGCTGCAAAAAGGTAAAGATTGGTGATTAGCGAACCTGTCACGATTACTATTTACATCCTGCCAAACTAACCCACAGATCATATTAACAGAGTTTGTCAAATCCTTTTTTTGATGAAATAGCTTTTTCCGTTGGAAATGATAATTTTACAATACTGAAGCACTCTGAGAATACCCCAGTTTGGTCTGCAAGTGCTTAGACCCCATTTTCCTGGTCTGATCCCCTTTCACCCAGCATTCTCTGAACACACTGGTTGTTCAGCTGCATCTCAACAAGCATTGTCCCTGCTTCTAAAACTGGTTTTTGTCAAAAACCTTGTCAAAGTTTGATTTTTATTTAGATTATTTTCTCCCATCTAGACATATAAATCTTCTCATGRGATGGAAATTCAGGTTCCTATACAGCTCTATTCCTCATTTCCTTGGGATAAGGAAGAAAGGGAGCAAGGGGAAATGTTCTCATGGAAAGTACTTAAGACATCTCTCTTGCTGCTCAATATCAAATAATTTGGTGGGAGAAGGGAAAGGAGATGCCCAAAATTATCAATAAATTTTGGATGAACGCATTTAAACTTCTACTTACAATTCCATTTGCAAAGGAGCAGAGGATTCCCAAGGCAAAGAGTCCTAAAAGGGGGCCACCAACCATACCAAAAATGCTGAGTGCTGCCTGAGGAAGCAAGAAARTCTGATATCAGGTGCTGTGCAAGGAAGGTAAAGCCTCCAAAGTGACAAGAGAAGATGCTGAGAAAGAAATTATAAGACTTTTTGAAGTGGTGTGTACTCAGATGTCAGGATTTGATTTGTCAGCTTAAAACAGGCTGAGCCATGGATGGTTTCACATCAGTACTCAACAAAGAATAAAAACTAATCTCATAATGGTATCCAGCAATTATTTTCTTACCTAATTTATTCTGGGTCATTCAACATGGGCATGAAAAAGCTGTGTGACACCTACCTGCAACAAGGCTCCCAGAAGAGATGCCAGTGCAGCCATAGCAATGCAGACTCCACCATAAAACAGGCCTGTGTGGGAAWGGCAGAATAATGTTTAAATCTGCCAAAGTTTGGAAATCACCAATGGAAAAGTTTGTCTAACCCAGGACAGCCCCAACATCTCCCTAATAAATGTGCTAACATCTAGATTTTTTCTAAGAGAGACCAAATTGGCCAAAAGGTCAGGTTTCTGTTTACATTAAGAAGAGATCATGCAAATTTGACAAAATCCTCTTTCTGTGTGTTACTAAAGATTAGTTAATGAATAGCAGCCACATGTATTAGTCATAATGGCAATAACCCACTCACTGTTTGTATTTCTCAGCTAATCTCCTGTGTCRTTGCCTTTATTTTGAGGGGATGATTTTTGCTTCTCAGCCTAAAATSTAGGGATCAAGAAAGTAAATGCTGGCAGATTGCCAGGATCTGGCACAGCRACAGAGAACATCCCAGGTCACCAGGATATAGTGTCTCTTTCCAGGATTCATAACACTGGCTTACTTGTTTTTTCCACCTCCACCCACCTTGAGTTTCACTGCTCTAGCAAGAGGTTAATCTCACTGTTCCTTGAGATGTGTCACTGGTGATACGACAAACATCCATTTTGGTATATGCATTGTTTGCAATGTTTAAGAAACTTCTCTCAGATGAAAATATTTAGTATGTGTTACTCTCCCACCAGTCTGYCGTGCTCACTGGTGTGGGCTATGACAGCATGTTGGGATTGAGGTACTTCCAGGTTTACTACAAACTCTTTCTTGAGCTACACCTGCAGCTGGTCACAGACAGTACAAGTAGCAGACACGACAATTGCACTTCACAGATTTCAACCATCTGCTCAGCCTAGTCCTGATTCTCTTTGAGCTACATTAAGCAGAGGAGCKAAACAGAGTGACAGTCTGAGAGTATATCAGAGAAAACATGAAATTTCTTGTTCTCTGGAGTGTTATTTGGACGCAATGCTATTGCTTGCATATCAATTAAAAAAAAATTATTACAAAACAGCAGCTTCCTTTGCTTCTCATTTTTGACAGATAAAAGAAAAGTAGCAGGTGCTTAAGTCAGAGATATTTGGCTTTGTAGAATTGTGAATCAATTGAACACAGATGAATTGCATCTTTCCTTATTTAAGACTAAACAAGGTTGTTTCCTTTTTTCCTTAAACTCACTTGCCCCCCATTTGTGTAAAACCTACGCAGCCGATCTTGTCTCCTKCACCAACATAGTCCCATTGGAGCGAGTGACTTACTCCTGACATACACTGTCATAAGCAACATCTGATTCAAGCCCTCACTTCATAATAAAAGCAGAAAATATGTTTTCCAGACATACTCATCCCCATGGAAATCCGTGACAGCTGCTTTTCAGAGAGCGATTTGAAGTAGGGCTTAATGAGGTCTTCAACAGTTACAGCAGCCAGAGCATTGATGCTGGAGGACACCGTACTACAGAAGATAAGATTTTTACAATTTTATATATCTTAGAAGCTGCAATCATAGATAGCAGGYAGGTTACTGGCACAGAGAAACTGCCACTATCTAGAACAGTGGCAGAAAACTAATGTAATTGCTKCATTGGTTGAAATAACTTATTATTCCACGTGATGCAGTTAACATCTTACAAAAATTGTTTAACACAACTACTCTTGGTGAAGACAAGRCACATACTGATGAAAAATTGGGCTGGGCCTAGAGAAGTCAATGGAAATATCTATTCTATATGGCTGGGCTGTAAACACTGCTGGTATACAGGATACCTTCATAAATGATCTACAGTATATATCAGGTTAGGTAAAATTCCCACATCACTGACTACTTTGAATGCACTCTCAGAGAAGGTTTCAAAAAATATTATTATGGTTATCTAAAAATTAGACATCTAGTCCAAACTGAATTACTGCAGGGTCCCTGTGGGATCAGAGAAAACAGCATTCCTAAGGCATGAAGCCAGGTGATCTTTTGTCTACACAAGACACCAGTTTTTCTTTAGCATGTGAAAACCAATATTTTGGCTGTTCCTTCTATTTATGTTGCTACAAGTATTCAGAACAAAAAAAAAATTCTGGTGACACATTCATAAGTTTCCTCATTTCTATCTGCTTACTACTTGTTCAGAGCCTTCCTTGAGAGAGACAATGTTTATCAAAGGTACTCCTTGAGGAAGTAGAACAAAGCACTCCCCAGTATGGGATAGAAGAGGATCAATTAGACTCCTGCAGTAAAAATATATAKTGATTGCTGTTTCAGGGGATTCATTCAAGACAATTGGAATTCTAGGAACTCTGGAAAATAAATTTCGAAAGATCAGGGGTGAGGAAAGGCAGATGGCTTTTAAGTTATGCAGGTTTGAAACTGGAAAATCACAGATGAGCGATAGGGAATTTCCCCAATCTGTAGCTATTTGGTGTAACCACCTATTTATAATGCTCAAAAAATCCTACAGCAGATGGGCTTTAAAAGCATAGAGGATTTGTTAGTGTTTTACATCACATGTGGCTAGCAATTTCCTCATGATATTACTAGGGAGCTCCAAACAGCTTTGACTGCTAGAACCCAAATATTGGAAACTATGGATTTTTAAGCTACTCCATCAAACAGGTTATAATGATTTTTTTAAGAACACAAATTGGGTAGACTAAGAAATAAGTACAAAAGTTTAGTGTAAATGCAATTTTAGCTCCAACAAAAAAGGGGGGGYGGGGAAGATAGTAGTTTCCAGATTATTAACTTACCTTAATGTCCCACTGTAGGCACTAGCCACAAAAAGCCCTGGCACTCCTGGAAAATCACGCAGGATATCCAGCACTAGGTACGGCATTAGCTGAAAAATTCAGATTAAGAAGTATTAACAACTTGCCCTAATTTTTCGTTTTATCACTGTGTTTTTTTCATTACAGCCCTCTCACTGATATTCTGTCCAGCTGTTCTAATTTTTAATATCCTATCTTGTTTTTTTTTACTGGTTTTCTACAGAGAAAACCAGTCATGAAATGTCCACTAGAGATACAGAGTCTGTTGAGACCACCCAGCTGTGATGTCATCAAGGAGCTGGGTTTCCTGTGACAATGATATGGGAAGCTGGGGCTGGGCACCAGGTAGCCTGTCCTGTTCATCACTCTCTTGGTGGGGCTGGGTGCCACAGATGCTTTTTCCGCTCATGACTCCAGAAAAGGGGTTTATATACAGTCTAATAACCTCAGATATTGGTACCTGAGACCAATTTCCTTACTGGAAACTGTGTCATTTTTGGACCTTTGCAAGATATGAGTGCCGAAAAGAGAGAGGAATTTTAAGATTTTCTTCCTGTGTACCTCTTTTTTTTTTTTTTTTTTTTTACAGACAAGTTGATATTTTTAGTGTCTTGCTTCCAGCGTCTACCAAATGAATTTGACTGGCAAGAACAACTTAATTTCCTTACAATTTCCACCTTGGCATTTATTTTATTCTACWCTTCAAGCCCAAGTGGTCCTGCCTCAGGTGCTTTGTTGTCTGTGCTCTTCTCCTGGCTTTCCAGCTGCTGTCCATTGGAGCATTTTATACACCCTGTGATTATCTTAGGCTTAAACAGCCAGCTGACACTCTTCCTCCAAGTGTGCACTTTGGGCACAAATATGTTTGGAATCTGAAAAGGCTCTTGCCTTCATCAGCACAGAGCAATTTAGGTTGGACAGTACAAAGCAGCTCACCAGGACACACAGAGACACCCACAAGGGCACTGCTGCTTTCTTTCCCCCACTTCTCTTCAGAGCAGTTTCATGCAATGCTGACATTCCCGAGCCCATTCTGGATGAAAAACCCAAACATTTGCAGAGCTGGTTTGACTGAGCACTCTACATATTGCAGCTCTCCCTGCTGCCCACCTCACCTAGTGCTGAGGGACCTGCAGCTCCAGGATAGCCGGGGGATGCAGGGACTAAACAGTGCCAAGGATGGGTCTGCTGCATTCTCCAGTCATTCCCTCACACTGTGGTCTCAGCCTGACACAGGACTCCTGCACGTCACTACTTCCTTTGAACTGCCTTTGTCTGGTTCTTATGGCTGCAGAGGAAGGACACCCTCTCGCCACGTTCCCCAAAATGTGGGGCCCTACCTGGTCGAGTGCTGACACCTTGTTGGCTGTCCATGGGTCGCAGTCTTTGTAGATGGAGTAGAGGGCCAGCCCACACAGAGTGGCACAGACCAGGATGGCCCAGAGTCCCACCAAGTTGATGTAGAGGGATCTGCACCAACACACATGGAAACAYCATGTTAGAGTTCAACATCCCACAAAAGACCCTGTCAGAGCCAAGCAAGGAAGTGCCCGTATCCACACTGAGGAGACCTCCTGGTCAGTGACTGCCCGCTGGCAAGGGAGTCCCCATACAACTCCCAGCATTTCACCTGGAGTGAGATCACATTTCGAAATGTACAAATGGCAGTTCTGGTTTTGGTGTCACAGTCAGAGCACTTGTCCCCTGACATTGGAGATGATGAGAGCAATACAGCAATCCCCTCATTTCATCATGTGTACAAGTTGTACGTGGCAGGCAGCAGGCAAAAGGAAACTCCTTCCCCCATGCCACACCCCTTGACAAACCCCAAGCAGATTTGTAAGGCGGGGTGCCCCAGATCCAAGTGTGGGGTTCCTTATAGTCAGCAAGAACATTCCTTTGACTCTGGAGCCATAGCATCGTGCTTACACAATGCTGGCCTTGTCCTTGTAAAGCTACAAACCTCCCATTTCCTCCTGGGACAGTCTCTGTGGGAGGCAGCAATGAGGTACTGGGGCTGGGACCTGGGCTGGAGCTGCCTCTGGCCACTTYCAGAGAGCAGGAATTTTTCAACAAGCCCAGAGCTTCCCCTTAAGGGACTAAACAACTTGGAGTCTGGTATCATCCAGAAACTCCATCACCTCCCGAAGTCCTGATGTGAGCTTGAGCTTCAGCTAATGGTGAAACCAGAAATGTGTTCTTGTCAGGCATTAACGCTGCCTTTGCCACACCACAGGCAGCTTCTAAAGGCAGTGAAAAACATCTTGTTCTCCTTGCCAAGTGAGGGAATTTGCTTTCCATTTAACTCTGGTTTTCTCAAATGTTTCTAAGCTCTTGATGTYTCCTGGATCACAAAGTTCTCACCTGCAGTGGTCAGCTCGAGCAAACACACCCATTGGGAGCCAGGCCTTGAAAAACAGCTTTCCTTTGCAGCAGTTGCCTCCTGATTATCTGTGTATCACTGATAGGGATTTAACTTCCTGACAGATCACATACCCTGTGATCATGACCTGTGCCAATTGGTAAGACCTCCAAAGGGAGGACCTTCGGTTTCTGTGCAAATATATCCAGGCTTGCAATGCTTCAGAGACCTTTTAGCACTTTTGGTCCCAARAAGTTAAGGGGCAGCAGCCTTTGTATTTCTCTAGAGGACCAGTAGGATGAACTAAGAAGTAAAGCTAAACTTATAGGCCTTGTTAGACATTGAAATGGGCATTTTCAGAAAGGCATAACATAGTTTAACTAATTGAACTATCAGTTTTATACAACAGAAAAGTTATTGGCAAGCACAATGTAAACTCTTAAAAAAGACCTATATAGCTAAAAGCTGATTTACACATAGTAGGGGAAACTTTGTAGTTTTGYCCTATATTTGCTATTAGGGACGGTCTAACACAGAACCAACAGCATTTTATATTTCCCTCTAAACTGATTTAGTAAAAATGAAGCAGTCCTCTTCTCATAGATGCTTACATATTGCTTGGATGACTTGCATCCATTTAGCTGAAGCAATTCCTGCATTGGCATAATCTATACTGATAAAAAACACCCGGAAACTGATCTAGCACAAAATTTACCCAACGAGTAAAATCAATCCAACTCTCTTGAGCAGATGTAACAGAAGAATTAGCCTAGAGCCAGTAGCRAAGATTAGAAAGTCAAGAGAAACACATAAAAGTGAAATAAATTGTCTTGAATCTAGCAATTCTTGTTTTTAAACTGCTTTTTTTTGACAGAATGCTGTTTTTTCCTTTGTGATTTTCCCAGCTCATGGTGCACCCCATGACTAAGTACTGGAGAATAATAATTGTAGCACTACTGGAGGGAGGTGTTTTCATTAATTCTGCATGAGTAACATGGGGTGGAGTTTGGGAGAAGAAGGCATTGTGACTGTGGAAGGCTTATTTTCAATTGTTTCAGTCTGGCTCTAAGACCTTAGCACTGAAACATGCTAGCTGATGACCTCGAAAAGAAATTAGAGAAAAATGTGTTAATAGCCCATATTTTTCTGACAGTGTAGCTCTGCTGCTCTGAGGGCCTCTTATCATTCAGATATAAGCACTATCTTCAAATTGCTTAGTGATTGTTTGAAGATGACAACATGTGCTCCTACCTACTGGTGTTCGATGAATGGAGAGAATTTTTTCCCCAAAGCCTGAGAAAATTCCTGTTCTTGTGCCACTAYTAAAGGCCTTCCCAAAACCTGCAAGTTGGGATCTGTGAAGGAATTATTTTCTGAGCTCTGATGTGTTACTGTGCTGTCTCTTAAAAAGCCTTACAGTAAATGGCATGGGGGTACAACACCCGATTGCTTTCACTTGACATTTTGCCCTTCTGTGTACAAATTAATGGCAATAAGAAGTACAGGCCAACAAAGTGCCCTGCCAGATGTGTTTAATTACATTTGCAAATAAACTAGATAGTCACCAAAGAATGACAGTGTTTATAGCTGTGACAAGCTGCAACTATTTTACAAAATGATTTCTCCATGCAGAGGAAACATCTTGCACAAGTGAGGCACAAGATGCCAACCACCATGCAAACAGGACAGGGCTCTACACATTAAGGCTGTGCCATCATTAACATGAGAGCTATAAATTCCATCTAACCCCCTACAGAACCAGATAGCTTCCAGCCCTGGCCAAAGCTGCTGCAAGAGCTCAGAAAATCTACCCTGAAGGTGCCACAATGCCAGATTGCCTTTGGGYACACTCTGCTTCTGGGATTCTCTGGAGGTGTCTCTGCTGGCAAAGAGGGTGGGGAGGGCACAAGAGAGGGGCTCAGCCCTAAGCGGAGCAGGTGCTGGGAAGAACAGCTGACTGGCACACAAATCTGGCACAGAGTATGTGTCTGCTCTCCTATACCCAATCATTCCAGGGAGCTCTGGATGTGGGATGTGCCTCCTGCCTCTGTGTGCTGAGAGCCTAGAACCYAGACACGTGCCAGGGACTGTGAAGAAGCCATCTCCACACTGGAGATGTGGCACTGAATGCTGCAAATGTGCCTGATAACAAAACTAGCTCATTCCTGCCTGCAGCACAAATGGCTGAAAAGTAGATTTTCCTTATCGATACAATCAAAATATTTCAGTTGTAAATGGTACATGATTTTGTGGGTACTTTGCTAACTTTATGAGGTGAAAGCCTTCACAGAGTTCCTTCTCTGTATGTCACTGTACCCATAACTTTAGGGCTATAGTTATGATGTGTGCTTCCATATTTCTTCTATAAATGGACTTCATTAAATTGCTAGTTATTCTTAAGTCCTGAGCTGTGAACTAATGAAATGATAGTAAAGATAAAGGCAAAATAGTAAAGCTAGTAAATATACTCCATTCTAGAGCAAAGGCTCATTGGAAATGTTTACATTCAAGGAAAACAGAACTCTCTGCCTGCTTCCACAGTTAATTCCTTAAAAAACACGTCACTATTATTATAAACACAAAATACACGATTCCTCARTAATTTTATCACTGAATAAGGCATTTCTGGATTTTCTTACACCTACACRCATTGTTACAGAAAAAAAATTTTACTCTTTACTTTTACAAAATCCCCAGAGTTATTCAGGTTTAGTAGAGTAGCAATTCAAGACACTGTCTTGATCTGGCTTCAGCACAAGTACTCTAATATTTGGTCTTTAGGTTGCACATAAAGTTAATGCAGCCATTTCTATGCAAGAATATTGGCACAGTGAAACATTCACGCACAAAGTTCAATATTACAGCAACCACATGTAATTCATATACCAGTATTTATTGTGCCAAATTTCTTCTATCACAAAACAGAAGGCAAAACCTGTTACCCTATAGAAATAAAATTTATACATATAAAATGCTCCCACAATCCTTTTAAAAAAATCTCTATTATAAAGAAGAGCCACTGCTAAATTCAGACAGTTACTGCAGATWGACTTACAATTTTGCGTGGAATCTGTTTTTGCATGCAATGTATCTCTGGACCTGGGACTGGTTAACCCCATATATACCAGTCCATGTGAAAGTCCCACCTATAACAATCGTCCAGAAGGTGTGCCTTTGCAAAGGATTGGGATCAAAGCTGCAATGAGAGGAAAAGGAGAAAACAAATTCAGAATATGAAAGTTGTCTTCATACGTAAAGACCTCAATGCTTAGAAGAAATAATTTCTCCATGCTTGTTCTGATRTAAACTCTCTTAATTTGGCCAGTTTTTGAACACTAAGTTACTTTAACTTTACACAAAGTCATAGAAAGCAAATTTTAAAACTCAGAGCTGATATCCTGAGCCAGTGAAACACTCTGACCTGTCCAAAGGTACAGTTGGAGAGATTTATTTGCCTATAAACTACAGTCTTCTGTAAACTTGTATGAGGCCTGCGATGGTTGTGATGAAATGATGCTCCAGTAAAAAGTGTACTGTGCCTGCTTATCTAGACGGACATCAGTCTAACACCAGTATAAAGGTGTGTTTACAAGCCCAGCCTTTGTGGACAGAGCCTCTATAAAACATTTTGCTGATTTAGCTCTAAGTAAATAGCAGATTTTAGATGGCCCTTAAAAATTATTTTTAAATCACACTTCAATATAAAAATAAATTGTATTTATCTTGGTGAACATAGGAATATTATTTCCCCTAATACATGCCTTTATTCCTTTTTCCATCTGTGAACTCTGTGATTGGGAGAAGAATCAATGCAGTACAACCACTGCAAATGAGCTAAACAGGTTGAAAAAGTTACTGCTCACAGGAAGAAAAAAATACCCACAGATGCATTACCTACTGAAAAACCTGGTGAAGAATTTTCCAGAACAACCTGATTATTATTGTGGAATGACAGACAAAGGACAAATTGCAATACTTGTCATACTAAACTTTCACTAATAGCACTGGGTGAAGGTTCTCAGAAGAATCTTGTATTCATCAAAGGTAAAAATAACTTTTTTACTTAAAATGGTCTTTGATTCAACATTGTCAGACTAAATATTCTTGAACTTGTAAAGCGGTATTTTTAGGCCATGATAATTCACAATAATGGAGGGRAAAATACTATTACAACTACTTTTATCGTTTCTTTCAGATAAAAGAAAAACATTTCCCTTTTTCAGATTAGGCAAAAACTATTATTTTCTCTTTTTTTTTTTTTTTGGTCCAGTCACTGAAATGCGAAATCAGCTTTTGCAAATTGTAATTACAAATACAACTATACTCCCCTATTTGCCATTTGCCTTCAGTGGAATCCAAAATGTATTCTTAAAAYGCCTACCTGACAAAGTAAAAAGGTWTTTCTCTTTACAGGATTTTGCATGGCGTAAAACCTAAAAAATATCCCTCGAACTAGCTAGGTTTGTTTAAAAATATATAGAAACTGGGTCACAACTTCTGCCTTCCTCCTCCTTCAGTAGCAGTTTAATTTCACACTTAGTCACATGGGCTCTATTGTAGGAATAAAGAGGCACATCCTTTGCAAATACAAACTCACTCCCAGAAGTTTAATCTTCCTCCRTGATAGGAATCATTTACAATGCGTCCAATTCCCTCCTGAACCACCACAGCTCGTATAATCACAGATGAAAATCCAGCAACCATGATTCCAACCTGGAAAACGTCTGTCCACACCACTGCCTTCAGACCGCCCTGCATGAAGAACAGCACACATCAGGTACAAGGCTGCAGCACTCTTGCTTTGCACTCACATCCAACTAGCAGAAACACTACCATCTGTATTACACATTAGAGAGGAATTTCACCTTCTTTAATAGAACTAATTCTGTACTGGTGTCTTCAGGAATTGTATTCTGGAACCTATTCAGGACATCCTGGCCCTTTTCTGAAGTGCACTGGAATTTACTTTGGCCATACACATAGTTTAATACAGTATTTCCTTCACCGTGTAATCTGATTCAGAAGTTTATATCAAAAGATGAATTTTCAGACAGTGTTCATCTTACTTATATCAAGTACCACTAACTCCAGAAGGTATACCATTCATCTGAATAAAAATAAACATGATTTAATCTAACATTTGCAAATAAATTTGTCACTGAGATTCTATTTCATAATTTCTAGCCATTTGGCTAGAATTAAGACTAAATTAAAGACCAGTCTGTTCACGTGACAGGTGCTATTTTCAGCAGCTCTATTCAATAACAGAAAGGACTGTTATAGGTGCATGAAGAAGGGGCTTGAAAAATTGCACAACAAAGCCCTATTAGATCACAAGAAAAACCACGGCGGGGGGGGGGGGGGGGTTAGAAAGAGAAATCTACCTTTTTTGCTATTCTTTCAGCAACAACTGAAGTTTGAATGTATCATAACAGAAAAGCTTTGAGTCACATAGTGGCTGCCTATGCATCCAGAGAGGTCCCTGGATGAATACGGTCCTGTAAAATCTGTACATCTGTAAAATGTAATTCCTGTACATCTGTAAAATGTAATTCCATGTGGTAACCTGATTATTAGGCTAATTTTTAATAAATTCCATGTTTGATGTGGCTGGTGAAAGGAACAGACTTTTCTCAGCTGAAGAGCCCACGTACCAGTGTGCAGTAGAACGTGCATACCACGCCAGTCGCGACCACTGCACCCCACAAGTCAAAGCCAGTGACTGAAAGAGAGAAATGGCACCATTGTGAATGAGGCACTGAGGACAAAAACACTGAAGATCAGTAAATTAAATACAAAAGTAGGAGGTTAAAATGAAAATATTAGTGTGTCTAAACCAGGGGATTCACCCTAACCAGTTCTAAAAATGAAACAGTCGTTATAGATTTGGAAACTGCTAAAAACTTGAGAGTTTTTTCAGGATCTAGGAAGCTATTTGTCTTTAATGTGAATGCTGCACATCAAATATTTCTCAGCTCAGGAAGGTTTTAAAATACATCTCCTTCCTTGAAGTACATGTGTAGTTGCTCCAGAGCCCTTAGGAAGGGATTTAAGCAAGTAAACAGTGTGGGGGTTTTCCACAAAGAAAAGGTTGTTCAAGTGCTGTCTGGAAGAAATGTGTCAGAGTAACAACCTTTCTTTTACTCTTCCTTCTCTTAAGGATTCTGTGTTTATGCCATACAGCACTGTGCTGTGGTTGACAGCTATCACTGCCCCAGCTCGGCAGTGAGATGCTCAACTGCCACATGCGGGGACTCCCTGATATATAGCTCAGGCTAATCAGAAACACTGAAAAAAATATTGAAAAATGTAAGTTATTCTAATTAGGAGCCTGCTAAATCATAGTTTGGTTTAGCATGTATTTGCAAGGCAAATACAAATATCAAAGACAAAACCTGTGGGACTTACACACTGGAGGAAACAAGTGCAGAGAGTGTTGGGTTTTTTCTTCCTTTTTGTTCAATGAACAAGGCAAAAAAAGCCATTCAATGAGCAGAAAAACTGTGACTGAGTTCTAGCCAAAATGATTAATTTTTTATTTGCATTTTGTAATTCCCTTTTCTTGCCAAATGGACAAATTAATGGTGGCAGATTAAAAGTTTAATTTGGCTCCATATAAAAGCTTTTGCCCTTTTAAAAATGAATGTGGCTCATTTTCAAAGCAAAGAGTCATTGTGAAGTAGGAAATGGAAATATTTAACTTTGTACATATCACAATAAACACCTTAAGTTAACAATCTCTTTGCTGTTGATTTGATTTTCCTGGAAGAAGGACAGACCATATTGAACAGTTCCAGGGAGCCCAAAATCATATTTACAGAATTTTTGCCTTGCTCTCATCTTGAAGAATACCACTTAACCAGGGGAATTAAATTTGACTTTAGTGCCTGCATTACCTTCAAAATTTACTTAAGTCATCTTAATTTTTCTGAACAAGCCTGTTTTCTACAGGTATTGCATCAGAGGTAAATGAGAGCCAGTTTTCCCATAAATTTCTTCCATAATTCCTTACAGCTAGGGACTAAGGGACTGGGTTTACAGAATTCCCATTAAAAGACTTCACAGTTAAGCCTTGAGCTATATTTTTAGGTGTGCAATACTAACAAAAAACCACTATACCATACTATGTGCAGAAGAAATTGCAMCAGTAGAACAGTTGCAATATGCTCATCTTACCTTGATTTAGTGCTAATGCTGGAGCATAAATGACAATACCAGTATATAAAGTCTAGATGGGAAGAAAAAAAAAATAAATGTAAATTCCTGGAAAGGTGATAGCTTTTGAGATTATTTCTTTTCAAGCAYTTATGTAGTCTGTATTTCCTAAATTCGTAACTGTCGACAAATAATTCCAATTACAAGATGAGTGTCTGAGACTTGTAAGTTCTGCAGTCTTACAGCTTATTGCTCTTAAAACAAATACCAGGGACTCTTAAATACAAAGTCCATMTTCATCTTCTCCTAGCTTTTATAATTAACTTATTTTATTCCTTTAAAACTGCAAAGGAGACAAGACCGAAAGGAAGTTAATGAGATTTACACATGGTTTGTCAAGGAATCTATTGTTATAATTTTCTCAGTCTTGAGATCAATATGCCTCTCAGTATACAACTATAATTCATRTAAGTTAGAACACAAAATATGACAATAATTAATCATTATGTATAGTACGATAAGGAATTATATAACCTTCATCCTGTAAAATGAAGCCATGCGTGATTACATTTTCAACCACAGTAAARATGCAGACAAATCAAGGAGCTACTCCATCTACTTTTGTGGGCACAATGGGATTCACACACTGATCAATATATTACTTTGTATATGGTTTTTAATCCTGTTTGCTTTATTGTCACTGTCATACGTGTCGTAAGTTCAGCTGTGAAATGGGTCAGAATAGAGCTTGCAATGTGCCTATGACTTCTGTGAAGATCAGTGGTCTTGACTCAAAGCATCTAGATCACCAACAGGTTGTGAGCTGGTGTGCATCAGCTTTCCATGGCTGGACTCAAAATTCTGACTTTCTGATTTACAGGGATGGGACTTGGGCATGGAAAAACAGAAGAGTCAGATGTCATCCAGGATTCAACCGGCTTCTGCCCTTCCTGCAAGTGTCCACCCTAGGCACAGGTGGCAAACCAAAGCAGGATTGCTAACCACTGAATTACTTTCCATGGCTTTTGAGCAGATCAAATCCARTCCCCAAGGTGGAGCTCTACCACCTGGCCAGTGGCTACACTGGGGACAGAGCCAAGAGGTAGCTGCAGTGAGTAGCTCTCTAGCTGCATAAGGAAATTAGTATGGAGAAGCTGCTTCAGCCAGCCTAACCAAACTGCCCAAACCCCCTGCTGCACACCTGCTACAAGCACGTGACAGAAGGGGTCGTGGGACCACTGGGGAAATAGTTATTCCTATTTGTGTGCTACTCCCTGCCAGTGTGTGTGCAAGGCTGTTTCTCTCCACACCAYGAGTCCTCTCTAGATTTTCATATAAAGCTTTTATGGCAAGAAAGCTGCAAGTCCTGACCAGTTCCTGGAGAATATCTCCTCAGAACTACCTGCACCACTTCCAAGCAAGCTCCTGACACCTGCCATTGCCACAGAGTCAATGTTTGACTCACTGTCTATATAGTGACCATCAGCATGTGCTGCTGAAATACACAATCATACAATGGCTTGTGTGGGAATGGTCCTTTAAAGATCATCTAGTCCAACCCCCCTGCCATGAACAGGCACACACCTTCCACTAAATCAAATTACACAGAGCCCCATCCAGCCTGACTTTGAACACTTTCAGGGATGAAACATTGCACTTCTTTTCCTGGCTACCTGGTCCAGTATCCCACTGTCCTTGTTGCAAATAAATTCTTCTTTATATTCACTCTAAATCTACCCTTTTTCAGTTGAAAACTATTATCCCTTGTCCTGTCACTACAGGCCTTAGTAAAAAGTCTCTCCACCATTCTCATAAGCCATCTTTGAAAGGCTGCAATAATGTATCCCCACAGCCTCCTCTTCCCTACATTGAATGATTAATCCCAAGTTTCTCAGCCTCCCCTCACAGGACAGGTGTTCCAGCCCCCAGACCATTTCTGTGGTCGTCATCTGGATCCTCTCCAAGAGGTCCATGTCTTACTTGTGCTGGGCACCACACAGCAAGATGCAGTACTTCAGATGGGGTCTCACAAGAGTGGTGTAGAGGGAGGGAATTACCTCTCTTGAGCTGCTATCCACACTTCCATTGGTGAAGGATAGAACTGGCTTTCTGGGCTGTGACCAGACTTTTCTGGCTTGTGCCAAATTTTTCATCCACCAGTATCTCCAAGTCCTTCTCTGCAAAGCAGCTCTCAATCAATTCATGCCTCAGTCTGTACTGATATTTGTGATTGCCCCAATCCATGAGCAGGACCTTGCACTTGGGTTTGTTGAGCTTTATGGGGCCACTCCTCAAGCCTGTCAAGGCCCTTCTAGCTGGTGTCCCTTCCCTTTAGCGAATCAGCTGCACCAGTAAGCATGGAGTCATCCACAAACTTGCTGAGGGCAAACTCATTCTCACTATCTATGTCATTAATGAAGGCATTAAATAGCACTGGTTCCAGTACATACAGCACTCATCACTGGCTCCCATTAGAATATTTAGCTGTTGACTGCAGTGCTTTGGATGCAATCATAAAGCCAATTCTTTTGCCTGCTAAGAGTCCATCAGTCAAAGTTGTATCTCTTCAAGCCTGATAATTCAAAGCATTCAGCGTGAGAACTTGTGGCTTTCTCATATACAGCAAATAAGTTCAGAGAAGAGAAGCTTTGAACCATCAGGAATTAAAAATTGTCGCAATTATAATCACATTTTGGTGTAAATTTCAATAGGACCAATACAATCTTTCCTCTTCTTCAGTAGGCTTTTTCACTTGTATTATTACATCCCCTTTACCTTCTTCTAAGTATATGCAAATATTCACTGAAAAGTTACAATTGCACCATTAAAATCTTGGGAGGTTTCCTTTCCTCACTATTATTTTATTTATCCAGGTTAAATTGTTAGTGCTTGGCAGAGAAAGACACTTATAAATCTTTGATTCATTTCCTTGTGCACATGTTTAAGTTGCATATAATTATTTTTCTGATCCTTGCAAGCAAAGATTACACTTAGCTTTCCCAACTTACGCAACTGTGATGTCTTCACATTTGCTGGTGAAAYAGTGTCAGGTTTCACACATGCTAACACTCTACTTTTCCCATAAGCTTGTGTACCTATAAAAGCCAGCTAAGCAGCACTGCTCAAATAAGTAACAAGCACTGCATTTGGAACCATCTTATTGGTGCAAATGTGACTGCCCTGTAACTTCTGGTGTGCCTAAAAAAATGCAAAAATGGACAAAACCCAAGTAATTTAAAAAGCTTTCTGATTGCATAGTCATTCTTACTTTGAATTACCGCGAAAGTCCACTTCAAAACTGTGAAAAGAACATTTTCTTTTTCTGGTCCATTTGACACCAGAATGCTCACTGACATTTAAAAGTTGTGGTCTCATACTGATTCTTTGAAAGAGGCAGATACAGAAAACTGTACCAACAATAATTTCAGGGACTGATTAAGTTTAACATCCCCCAGGGCAGTAATTTTCTACTTCTCAGTTCACAGACACCTAGGATTTTTCCAGTGGTGGTGGTGCAAACCCTTGTGCAGTAAATGACAGCTCCTGACAGCCTGTTTTGTCACCTTTCACTGACCCTTGAGAATTAGTCAGACTCTGTGAATCCACACACCAGAGGATGAAAACTGCCACTGTAGATAATTGGGGCATGTTTACATTTTGAACTCATTGAAGGTTTCTCCAGCAGGCAGGYGAATGACTGCTCCTCACACTGCTATCCTGCAGTGAAGGGCTGCTMGTCTCTTGGCATGGTGCTGATGTCAAATGACTGCTCTGGGTATTCAACAGTGCTCACAGAGACCCAAGAGGCAGGTAGCCCAGCATCCAATTGCTTTGGAGCAGAAAGAGTTTTCTTTCTCCTGCTCCCAAGCCACCCAGACACTGTGGTAACCTCACCAACTGCTCAGAGGAAACAGCCAGTTACATTAAACCAAATAATTCTGATGGCCCCGAGGAGCACAGAAGAGCTTTGAAGTTTACTTGCCGTTTGTATTATGAAAAGGACCGTTCCACAGAGGCGAAGATATTTATTAAATCGAAGTTCTAAATACTGCAAAAAAGAAGAAAAAACAAACGCTGATATTGAAATTTGACACTATATCTAGCACTAGAATGAAGTGATGAGCGGTACAGAAAGAGCAGAATGTTGTTTTTACATTTTTATAAATGGCAAAAGCACCTAGAGCTTCCTTGTTTGATATCTCTTTCAACTTGATTTAATATTTCTTTACAGACCTCACCACTGAGTAGTAACACACAAGCAAATGAAGTAGACATAAAATGGTCACTGTGCTAGGGAGTCTACAGAAAAGACTAGGACATGCTATCACAGAATCATTAAATATGCTAAGTTAAAAGGGGTAACGATACAAAAGAATCAYGAAGTCCAACTCTTGACTTGGTGCAGGGAAAACTGTAAGTTGACAATGATGTACCAGCAAAAAATACAACCCACTTGTGTTGTGAAGTCAGAGAGAAAAAGAAAACTTTGTGACTATTCCTATGCCTTAGTCAATTTGGAAATTCTGGCATTATACATGTCCATCTGAACTGCTAAGAGAGAGGGCAGAAGATTTTCAGTGGTCAGCAGCTTCTTCCCATGTTAACCCCACCTTCTGCACTGCCATATTCTACTGCTAAGTCAAAATTTAGCCTTTTGTGAAGCAAAACCCCTCACTTTTCTATCTGGGCTGGGACAGCACAAATTCTAAATGAGTTTGTTATGCTGTAGGGCAGATTTCTTTCCACAATCTGTCCTAAAAGCCCTCTTGATGTGTGGTTGTACAAAAGAGATCTCATTTGCCTGATGAATCTGTTCAATCATCACAGGCAAACACTGACGCACCTCAAAGTGCTCACTTGCGAACTGAGCATTTAAAATGTGATCTGTGAGTATGGCCACACAAGGAAGTAGTCTTGAACCCCTGGACAGACACAGAAGGTTGTTAAAAATCTGAACTCTGTCCACAAATAGAAGATTTATCTTTTATAGCGGCAGTACTCTGATTCAACATCAAGATAATCAGTGAGTTTCCAGTCATGATCATAAGCCTTTATTTTAAAGGGCCTATTTAAGTATCATCATGACAGTCCAAAGACGAGTAGTTTAAAATACACTGGAAGACACTAGAGATTTATGTTGGTGAATTCTTATCTAAATTTACCGACAGAAATCTTGTTTTCAGCCTTCAGGGCTGCAACACCTCTGTTCAGTGTAACAAAATGCTAAAGATCAAACCAGTCAGTTAAGGACTTTCACCTGCACCGATGCTCCTTTTCCAAAGTTCTCTGTGAAAAGGACAGGCTGTTTCCAAATCTGCAGCTAGGAGCTTTTTCCATGCAGAAAGATAAAACTGGTTGCATGGACATTCTGAATCAGAAGAAAGCACTCAACAGATGCTTCCCCCCCCCCCCAAAACTGTGAGACTCAACCTGTGATTGTCCCACTAGCCCAGATGCCTCTGTGTGGATGGCTGTAGCTTCAAGTTACACACTGGGCTGAAGACCAGCTCAGCCTTATTYTAGTGGAAGTAAGAAAGGAAGAAAACTATCACAGACACAGGGCAGTTGCCGACCTCCTTGTATAATCCAGAAGGAGAAGACGTCCAGTAGTGTAAACCCTCTCAGGAGACCAGGGGTTTCTTCAAAATCTCTAGGAACAGCACAAATATATACTCTGCCAAAGGGAGACTTTTGTGGGTGCACCTAAGCTTAGAAACCAGTTTGAAGGGAGCATGAGGTGGTAAGGGAACTTTGGTTTCTATAGCAGATGATTTTGTGCACTGGTTTTGGTGTATTAATTACAGTTGATTAATGACATGTCACCATCCAAGCTGCACTAGGATTAATCCACCTACTGAATTGAGTAGCTGGTGTGAGGAAACAAATCTGGTATGACACACAGCTCCTGAGCTAAGGCAGCAAGGTTGAACATTACCTGTCTGCAGAGACAGTGTGGGCAGRCTTGGGGACAGAGAGGGTTGCAGCCTGCTCTCAGGAGTGGGGTGATACAGGAATAGCCCAGAGTGCAGGGAATTTGGGGGAAGAGAAGATGGTAGGCAGACATGTAGAAAGTAGGCATGAGAAGCCTCCCAGCTTCCTAAAAGCTGGGGAGAGATTCCTTCCACTCCACCTTACCTCATAGGTGCTRGTAATGCCCAGTTTGTAGAAGACAGGCAAGAAGATCTCAGCACTGCACAGCACCACCAGGCCGTAGGTGATGGCAAAGACGCAGAAGATGGCACCATAGCGATAGATCTCAGCAGGAGTRCCCAGCACGGTGACGGCTGACATGAAGCTGGCAGTGAGGGAGAGTGCAACCGGGAGGGCACTCATGCTGCGGCCAGCCATGAGGAAGTCCTTCGATGTCTTCTGTCCCCCTCCCACGAAGGCGTAGTAGAGGCCAATGATGGCTGAGATGAGCAGCATGGCCGCAAAGACCACATAGTCCCAGACGGTGAAGCGCCCCATTTTACYGGAAGGAACTCGCCCTTGGAACCAAGGATCTTCCCCAAAATCAGAGGGGCTSCTGCCCTCGCAGGGCTGGCACGGGATGGCCTGAGCAGGAGGAAGCAGATGGGGACGGGYCCCCGGCGAGGTGCGCCCGGCTGGAGCTGGGGCAGGTGCGGTGCAGTGACACCAGCGGGACAGAAGCAAAGACGTGCGGTGCCGTGTCCGCGGGTGGGACAGATGCGGAGCACTGCAGGGCGGTGCAGCGTCCACCGGCGGGACAGGTGCGCTGCGGTGCGGTGTC